AGGGGTGAATGGGGTACTAGAACATGTACCATATGCTATACCTCCTGTACCTTATAGCTTAATTCTTTATGTTGAATTTTATTTATTCCTTTCACATTTTTTGAATGAGGAAACTAAAGCTCCAAGAGGTTAAATAATGTGCTTCAAGTCACACAGCTTAGGAAGTGACAGGACAGAATCTGAACCACGTCCAACTCCTGAGCCCATGCCCACTACATTTCTGCAAAGGGACAGAGAAGAGATTCAAAGACCTGGATCTGGGGATGGAGCAGTGTCAGCCGGAGCAGAGGCAACAGGAGGAAGGCAGCCCCACGTGGGTGTCAGGAGGTGTAGGTCCCATTTCTCACTCAGCCATATATCTGTTTTTATGAACCTGGCAAGTCACTGACTTTTATGTGAACCCATCTCCTTTTCCATGAAATGGAAACAGTGTGAGGTGCCAGGCTTGTGTTTGGTTGGGGTAAAAATGTAGTGAGAAAAAAGGATGATGAGATGATGAGTCAGAAATTCAACTCACTGAGCCCAGCTCTCTACAGGAGCCGGGTTTTAGAATCAGGTTGACTCTGCTTTCCAATTCATTAATTATCTTCTTCTAAGTCCAGAACACACTTAATGGATTTCAGCAGATGGTTGTAAAAAATATGTATAGAATAGGATATAGAACACTGTTAACATTTAAAATTGTTTTTACTGATAAGAACCAAACCAGTTTCAAATGCTAACCAATTCAAAGAGCAGATGCTCCAAATTTATAGAACAAACATAAAACTTTGGCCTACAGTCCCATTTAACTGTAACACAGAAAGATAGGTGCTAGCTGGGGCCCTACTTCTAGCCACATAGGTTTACCCTGAGTGGCCAAAAATATTGTAGGATGGACTTCAGAGTCATGTGATTTCATGTCCGTCTCCTTGTTAATTGCTGCCCACCACTGCAGGGGCTGTCGAGCTCCTTCCTGTCTGCTAGCGCTGTCATACAAAAGTGCCACAGACTGGGTGGCTTAAACCACAGAAATATACTGTCTCACAGCTCTGGAGGTCAAAAGTCCAAGATCAAGGTGTTGGCAGGTTTGGTTTCCTTGGCTGCCTCTCTCCTTGGCTTGCTTGTAGCTGCCTTTACCCTGTGTCCTCACATGGCCTTTTCTCTGAGCTTGCATCCCTGGCTTCTCTGTGTGTGTCCAAATTTCCTCTTATAAGGACACCCGTCAGTTGGGATTAGAACCTGCCCGAACAACTTCATTTTAACTTGATTACCTCTTTAAAGGCCTTATCTCCAAAAACAGACATATTCGTAGGTACTAGGAGGTTTCAAATAAGAATTTGTGGGGGTGGGGGGTATACAACTCAGCCCATAACAACAGCCCTCCACACAGCTCCTCTGAACAGATGGCTTCTGTCTCCACCAGAGGCGCCATGCTAGCTCTGGTAGAAGGCCTTTCAGTGGCCCTTGGGAGCCTCCCCCTCCCAACAGCCCTGGATGGTGCGGGGCCCAGCTGGGCACGGGTGCTCCGTATGCCCTCAGGCAGGCAGTCCCAAGGGGTTTGGCTTTCCCACACTCTTCTCCCCTGCCGTCTTTGGGCTCTCCTTCACTGAGTCCTAGCCTTCTGCTTTAGATCTGTACTCTTCTCTCTCACCTTGGGGAAGAGCTTAGCTTGACATTTCCTCTTCTGTCCCCTGTTTCGCCCTGTCTCTTCACCTCCAGAATTTTTGATGGGTTAACTGGTTTCTTAACCTGTTTCCTTGTGAATCTCCTCTGCAGTGACTTCTGACCCCCCTGTCTCACTGAACCTGCCCTCTCAAACCTCACCCACCACTTAATGCTGGTCCTACCTGAAGCCCACTCCCCAGCGCCCACTGTCCTCCACCCGCTGTTGCAGTGACATTCTGCTGTCTGCTTCCCAGGCCCTTCCACAGCCCTCCTCTTCATCCCAGTGTTCCCTAGGGGCATCGCCTGGGGTCAGACCCTGGACCCTTCTCATCTTTCACAGCATTCTTTTCCCCAAAAACTGACCCATCCTCCATTATATTTGCATGTTTGATTCTGAAATCTTTCACTTCCAGTCCCCACCAAGCTCTTAAGAATTCTGATCCTGGGCATCCAGCCTGCAGATGGATTAGGTTCTTTGATCAACCACATTCACTAGGACCAAGCTAAACTTCTCATTCTTCACTCCCAAATTCCATATTCCATCACTGCAGTTTTCCCCATTTATCCAAGCCAAAAATTTCTATGGAATCTTTGTACCTTCTCTTGTTTAGCCCCTAAATTCTTTTAACTTTTCTTCTGTCTCTTCTTTATATTTTCTTTTCTGCTGCCTTTACCAAGCCTAGACCTTGATCAATTCCTTCTGTGTGTCAATAGTCTCCTAGTTGGATAGCCTTGTCCCCAGGAGTAGGAGAGACCTCATAGGGTCCTCTAGCCTGCCCAAAAGACAGCTATTTGTGTGAGGACTCCCTGCTCACTCAGGACAAAGACAAAACTCAGACTTGGCTTCTAGACCACCACTGTCCTACAGAACTTAGTGTGCTGACAGCGTGTTCTACATCTGCACAATTTGGTAGACACCAACCACGTGTTGCTGTTGAGCATTTGAGATGTGACTACTGTCACTGAGGAACTGAAACTTTTATTTTCCTTAAACCGTCACGCTGTCTTCACACCACTGCTCTCTAATCTCAGCCCTGTGCTTTGGACAACTTGCACCAGACATTTGCCTTGATTCTTGACTCCGAGCTGCTCTGTTCCTGAGCCATGGGGCTCTGCTCTTCTCTCAGGTTCAGATCTCCTTAGCCCTGAGGCTCACCTCTCAGCCCTTCCTGACCATCTCCTCAGCCCATATTGAAATCTATTTCTCCTTCATTTGAACTACATCATTTTGGAAGGATACAACTTTTTAACTTTCTATTTAACTTTTATTATTTTGAAATAATTTCAGACTTACAGAGAAGTTGCAAAAATAGTGCAAATAATTCATGCCTCTCATTATAAAATCCGAGTTTGGTGATTAAAACACAAAATTAACATTGATACAATACTGTTATATAATTTATTGGCCTTATTCAAATTTTGCTGGTTGTCCTATAAATGTCTTATATGACAAAAGAAAAGAAAGCTTTTCCTTTGGACCACACACCTTGACATTTAAGCCCTGATTTCTTCATTTGCTTGCTTTTCTTCTCAGTGCCCAGGTTAGTAGTGTGAACTGATGGGCCTTTGCCTGGCACATAGTGGGCCTCAGTGGGTTTTTGTTGGCTAGACAGGTGGATTAGTAATAGTACTGGACCAGGGTGAACTTGGTGGAAGCAGGCCTCCCCCTTGGCTTAACCACGTGGCTGCCTGTCATGTGCTCTGTGATCTCAGAGTGCCTCTATCGGGATCGCCTACTTACAGCAGCCCTCTTCCCATTTTATAGATGCACAACCAATACTCTGCAAAGTCAACCAACCTGCCTGTGGTTGCAGAGCACCGCCACAGCCTAACCAGGACATGGCACTGCTTCTCTGTAATCTGCAGAGGGGAAGCTTGGTGCGTGAATAATTGTCCACATTAACCCCACTCATTCATTCAGTACTTATCAAATGCCTACTATATATATACCAGGCACATTGAGTATACATCAGGGAACAACGAAAACAAAATGTCCCTGTCCTCCAAAACCTTATACTTTAAGGGGAGGAAAAGGCAGATAGTAAATAAACAAGTAAGTATACAGTTTGTTCTGTGGTGACAAGTGCCATGGGGGTGGATAATAAAGTGGCATAGGAGTGATAAGGAGTGGGATTTGAAATAGAGTGATTAGGGAAAATCTTATTGACTAAGTGACTCTTGCCCATTTTTAGTATTAAGGTATATAACAGTAAAATTCACTCTTTCTAGTGCACTGTTCTGTGAGTCTTGGCAAACATGTAGAGTCACGTAACTACTGCACAATCAAGACATTGTTCCATTACCTTAAACCATGTCCCTGTGCCCCTTACTGGCCAACCTGTCCCCCAACTCACTTCCAGTAACCACTAATCTGTTCTTTGCCCCAATAGTTTTACCTTTTCTAGAACATTATATACACAGATGTATATCATACACAGCGTTTTGAGACTGGCTTTTTAGAAGAGAAACATGAATCATTGAGATTCACCCAAGCTCTATGTATCAGCAGTTTGTTTATTTGTATTGACAGATAGAATTTCATTGTATGAATATGCCACAGTTTATCTGTTCTCCAGTTGAGGGACCTTTGGATAATTTCTAGGTTTTGGCAGTACAAAGAAAGCTGCAAAAAGCACTCATATACACCCATTTGTGTGCATATAGACTTTCATTTTGCTTGGATGAATAGGTCACAGGCTTTCGAATGAAGACCTGAAAAAGAGATGCGAACAAGGCATGAAGACAGCTGAGGATGTTGTTCCCTATTCATTAGGTGAATAGGTTTATGCTGCAAAATTGGTCTGTTTGAGTTATTTGCCTTGTTGAAGTTATTTGCAGAAAGTGGAAGTAGAAGTGGAGGAGCCCATTTCTCAGTTCATTCATTTACCCATTTGCTCATTGATCCATTCAACAAACATTGAAGAAATGAAAGCCACCAATCCACAGTCTTTGACCAAAAGGAAGCCTGAGACCCTTGGATCCACACCAAAGGCTAATTTTGGTTGGTTTATCTGACATAAGTTCCTTTCCTAGCTTCCTGAAAATTAGAGTGAGAGAATAGTTAGTGAGTGAGGCTCCATCATTGAATTGGCTGAGGCTTGAGCACTTCTGAGAGTTTTTATCTCAGTGGAGGCTCCAGGGACCCCTCGAGGGGACCCCTCAAGAGGCCCCCCGAGAACTGATATTCATTCAATCGACTAGTCATCTGGGTGAGAGTGCAAGATCTCCTGAAAGTCATATTCACATGAGGGCTCTGTCGGGATGCGGGGCCGGTGGACAAGACTGCATCCTCCCAGGAGCTTTGCGAGGAACCAGAATGAACAGAAAATAACCCGTTAACTTCTTTGTTTCAGGTGATGCAACTGTGAAAAAGAAACCTGCTCCCAAGACACCTCCAAAGGCAGGTAATTGGCCACAGCAACATTTGGGAGAAAGAAGTTATCTGCCATGAGGGGGTTTCCTTTGCCCTGTAGACTGACCACTGGTATGTGGTCCCAGGAGACCACCCCTCCCTGATCCAAGCTGTGCATTATTCAGGCCGAATCTTCCCCAGGGCGTCTGTGCAGCCTGGGCTCCCACCCTCTTAGCTGCTTGTCTTTTCTCCTGCTTCCCCTGTACAGACAGCATCGCACAGTACTAGTGACTTTCCCGTCCTTTTGTGAAGTCTGCCTAGCCCTCCCCTCCACTGTGCCCCTAAAGAGATGATCCACTTTATGCATTTTTAATGCCCTGCTCCATATATCCTTGTCTTATGGAGCCTTGTCTGTTTTCCTTGAAAACCGTTTGAGAACATGAACTGTACTGAACCTGTCAGCCTGGGTAACCTGGTGGTTAGAAGGCAAGGTGCTGCTTAATTCATAAACGAGGTGGGAGGTAGAAAATTTTCAGATAAGATTCAAAGTACAGAGCAATCAACAGATGGAGAATATGCCTTGTAAACTCTGGGGGCCTTTTCTGAAGGAATCAGAATAAAGAAATGGACAAACCGTCAGATCAAACGTTCTGGAGCCGTGGTCCCTGTCCTCCATCTTACCCTGAAGGCTCCAGAATGTGAGAGAGGAGCAGCAGACCAGTGTGGACAGCAGCCTCACCCTCACTCACTTTCTCCCTCGGCCCCCAGCCATGCCCCCTCAGATCGTCCAGTTCCCCGAGGACCAAAAGGTGCGCGCAGGAGAGTCCGTGGAGCTGCTTGGTAAAGTGGCAGGCACCCAGCCCCTCACCTGTACCTGGATGAAGTTCCGAAAGCAGGTCAGTGGTGGAGGAGGCAGCCCACTGAGCCCCGGGGCTGGCAGGGAGGAGACACGTGGTTAAGGAGGCAGCAACACTCACCACAGGGGTCCCAGAAACACCAGAGACCCTCGCCCCCCCTCCCCCCGCCAGCTCCCCACCAAAGAGGAGTTTTAAGGAGTCTTTTCTTCTGAATCTACCAGTAATACCTGCCCACTAGGGAATTTGTGTGATAGAGGAAAGCATGAAAGAAGAAATGGAATCCGTCCATGGCCCCTGCCTAGTTTTGATATCTCAATCTAGATTTCTGTAAGTCAGGAAAATTGGCTCTGGGCTCTAAATGACATCTCAGACTCCGTGGGCTTCCTGTGATGCTGTGCCAGCCCTGGAACCCTGTCTGTGGAAACAGCTGAATCTTACCACAAGCTCAAGGGGTAAAAGTGAGCCTGAGTATTTGGATGGGTAAACTACAGGTTGAATAGAATTTTCACTTACTGGCCCCAAACTCTACCATCTACAATAAGGGTACCATGGAAGAAATGTTAGACTTCCTGTGCACCTGACTTACAGAGGAACCTGGAAAGGCTGGCTGTCCCACCAACCCCATGTTGGTAGCGCGCACCCATTGGCATGATGAGCAGAGGCCCCGAGTGGTGGGCTGGCCCTGGATCAGGAACTCGACAGGTGGTGGGAAAGGCTGTCTGGGCTGTCATCTGAAGTAAGATAGAAACTCAGCCCTTTTCAGAGACATTTAGCCTAGTCCCAGCTCTCTGTCCGACAGAACTTTCTGTGGTGATGGAAAGGTTCTATACCAATTGTCCAAAATGGTAGCCACCAGCCAAGCATGACTATTGCAACTCAGGCACTGAACTTTAAGTTTTAATTAATTAAAAATTGTTAGAACGGCTTTGTTGACATGTAATTCACACTCATAAAATTCACCCTTATTTTGAACAAAAGAAAACTGAAGGAACAAAACAGCAGCAGAAGCACAGAACCCAATAATGGACTAATAGTTACCAAAGGGAAAGGGACAGGCGGGGACGGGTAGGAAGGGAGGGTTAAGGGTGGGGAAAAAGAAAGGGGGCATTACGATTAGCATGTATAGTGTGGGGGGGGGCATGGGGAGGGCTGTGCAACACAGAGAAGACAAGTAGTGATTTTACAGCATCTTACTATGTTGATGGACAGTGACTGTGAACGGGGATGTGAGGGGGGACTTGGTGAAGGGGGGAGCCTAGTAAACATAATGTCCTTCATGTAATTGTAGATTAACGATACCAAAATAAAATTTTAAAAAAAGAAGTGAAAAAAAAAATTCACCCTTATTTTAAAGTTTGCTATTCAGTGATTTTTAAGATATTCACAAAATTGTGCAACCATGACAGCGATCTAATTCCAGAACATTCTCATCACCCCAGAAAGAAACCCCAGAGCCATTAGCGGTCACGCCTCCCTTCTTCTGGACCCTGGTATCCACTACCCCAACTTTCTGTCTTTACAGATTTGCCTGTTATAGACATTTCATAAAAGGGCAATCATATAATATGTGTTCTTTTGTGTCTTCTCTTTTTTTCTTAGCACAATGTTTTCAGGGCTCCTCCATTTGTAGAATAAATGGCCAATATGATGCAGTTGTCTGGATATGCCACATTATGTTTATCCATTCATCAGTTGGTGGACATTTGGGTTGTATGCACTTAATTAAAATTTAAGTAGCCACATGTGGCTGGTGGCCACAGTATTCGACAGCAGAGGAAGGTCAGAACCACTGCGGTGGGCTTGTAGGTGACTGTGCTCAGAGGGGTTCTCCCACCAACCCCTCCCAGAGCAGAGGAGAGACTGGGACTAGCTCCATTCTGGAGCAATGAAAGCAGACACAGTTCATCCCCTGACCCTGCTCAGCACCCGCCCTGCTGCCCCAGACTGGAGCCCCTCTGGGAGGCTTGGCCCTGGATGCAGGAAAGGCAGGGCCTTGGGGGGAAGCCCGGAGTCCCAATGAGCCTGGGCCCCACACAGCTTGCCCAGCGGCATTCCTCAGGGAGTGGGGAATTGGGGTGAGAGCCCCCTTCCTCTCCTTGCCCAGGTCTGCAGCACCTGCCCCCCTCTTTGACCCCAGATCCAGGAGAGTGAGCACATCAAGGTGGAGAACAGCGAGAACGGCAGCAAGCTCACCATCCTGGCTGCACGCCAGGAGCACTGCGGCTGCTACACGCTGCTGGTGGAGAACAAGCTGGGCAGCAGGCAGGCCCAGGTCAACCTCACTGTTGTGGGTGAGTCTGTGTGCTCTCGGCTTGGAGTCTGGAGATGGGGGAGGGGAAGCATGGCTCTCCCAGGTCAGGTGATCAAACTGGAGTGGGGAGGAGGGGGCGTCTGCCAGGGCGCACTCCCTCTCTCTCCCTGCTCTCACGCTGTTGCTGTGCTTCATGCTCGAATCCAGACCCATGCTCAGCCTCTTCCCCAACACACACATACAGCGTCTTCCTCTGCCTATGAATCTCCTCCTTGCTTCTCTTTCTTTTTAGCCTTTGAGACCCTGAGCTTCCCTACCCCACGCCCTCTCCTGCTGGCACCTGTAACTCCCCTCCCTCTGCCCCCTCCATAGCCCCTCCCCTCTTTCTCACACTCAGTCCCCTTGCAAATCCTCCCCTGATTCAGGGCTGCCTTCTGACTTCACTGCTCCTCCGCCTGATTTGGGGGCCATTGCCAGAAGATCACAGTCCACAGACTCAAGCCCGGAGCCTGCAGTGTCCAGGCAGAGGCGTCAGTGCTGACTAGAGCCCCACCACCACCCACACTCGCTGGGATGGTATTCACCCTGCAAGGCTGGGCCCCAAGCTCCTCTGAGAGATAGGAGGCATCAGGCATGAGCTCGCTCAGCTCTGTGGCCCCACACCTATGGGTGCCTATAGCTTTACCCCCTTCTGTCTTCCTTCAGCTTCCCTGCATCCCTCCTAAATGTTGCCAGGGCCCTCTGATAGTAGCCAGACACACAGGAACACACAAAGCTCCTGTAGTACCTTGTCTTGCTCTAGCCACCTGCCATCTCCCTTTTGCTCTCTCCTCATGGCCAAACCCTCTAATAGGGAATGTCCTCTCCTCTGATTCTGCTTCTCCAGCTCCCTGCAGCCTCCCCTCCTCCCTAGTCTGCTGGGATGCCCTTCTGAGGTCACCATGATCTAATTCTAAATCCACTCCCTTTTTCTTATCTCCTGTGTCCCAGTGTTGAGTTGAGTCTGTCTCCAGACTGATTATCAAGTTCACTTTTTCTTCTCTATCCCAATCACTGTGTTTTTCATGCCCTGGTCAACTCTCCTGGAATATGCGAAGAGCTTCCCACCTGTCTCACACTGTTGGGTGTGCTCAGGTCATTGTTCCCTGATGTGGCAGGTACTCAGGTCATCGAGGGAAGGGCACATGAAGGAGCAGACAGATAGCAGGCTGTGTCCCTGTGTATTTGTGGGCCTTCAAATATTGTACACCTGAAAGCCTTTGACCCTCTGTGTATTGGTCTGATCCCTTCGGTTTCCTTAGGTCAGGAGTTTTAAATCTGGAAAGGTCAGTGTACTAAGGCATCAGGAAGGTTTCTCATCTATAAAGGGCAGGAAGGACCTTTTTCTCACTCTTTCTCTCTTTGCTGCCTCTGGATACTTATTTGAATAATTTCACCTGCAGAGTCAGGACCTTTTTGTGGGGGGGTGGACCACTGTGACCCAGTTTGCCTATTCATTTAGACTGTGCCTGAAGCACTGATTAGGCCCCACACCCTGTCTGCCAGTAGCATCGATATCTCTGGGTGTTCTCGCATCTGCCTCTGCCTGGGGGACTTTGGGGTCAGCTCCTTTGAACCACTTTTCAGTGACCAGTGCCCCCTGCCCCGTCTCTGGCGGTTGCACCATGCCACACACTCCCCTCCCCCATCACACCGCATGGGCTGCAGTTCTAGCCTTTTATGGCTTAGTTTCTTATTCTCCTCGGCCACTGCTAACAGGGCCATTGCATGGCTGCCTGCCAGCTGGCGGGAGCAGCATGTTAAATGCCGTTCTGGGAGGGGAATGGAATGGAGGGGAACAGGCTTTCTGTCTGCCTCCCCCTCAGAGAGCTAAGAATAGAATTGCTCAATAAAACGAGGACTCACATTAATGGACACAGCAAAGCCACACTCATTCAGTCTGTGGATTTAGAATTAGTCCAAAGTAAGCCTGGAGGAAGCTCCGATTTACCTGCCCGTCTCTAGGGACATCTGTGTATTATCTGATCAGGGCTTATTAAGTAGATGTAAAATGTAAACAAGATGAAACAGGAATTGTTTGGCCTCCTCTGGACGGTTTTCAACTGCTATGAAAGCATCCACTTGCAGGCCAACTAAATAAGGCCGGTTTCACACACCTTCTGCTTGTTAGTAGTAAGCTTCTCTTACTGTGTGTTCTTGAAAATACCATTTTCTTTTCAGATAATCTGTGACTCCTAGTTTTAAAGTGATAATTAAAAGTATCCTTACCCTCGGTTAGTTTATGAATGGTGGTTAGCTATTTTAAAGGCTTGTTATTAACTATATTTTAAAAGGCAACAGGGATTTGCAATGCTCAGAGGGCCTCTGCCTGTGCCTTCCCCGCAGCTCAGCCCCAGATGGGTGAGGAAGGGCCACAGGGGCAGGCAGGAGAGAGCAGCGTGACCCAGATGCTTCCTTCATTTAGCTCATCCAGCTCAAGAAAAACAGGTCACTTTGCATATCTTTAAAGGAGAAAAACAAAGTAGAGAGAATCCACATGCCCTGTAATCCCCAAATACTAACTTGCATGATTTTTAAAGGCAGGAGATTTCACTTTGTAATGCTTAGCTTGGGCTTAAGCAAGATGTGTTCTTGAACTTATTCTGCTTTATCCCCTGGAAAATAACAGGCCCCTGGAGTGAGCGAGGGTCTGGAGATTTTGGAGGGCCTCCTTTGGGCTCTGCCACTGGCTAGCTGGGTCTTCCTGGTAAGCAAAGTGCCTTAGCCTCTGAGGGCCGGGATTATCGGGTTGAGGACCCTGGGGGCCCTCACACCTCCCTGCCCTTCTCTAAAAGCTGCAGGTGGAAGTGTCCATGAGGTGTCCATGACATGAGGTCTGGGCAGGGTTAGGCTTAGCCACAGATTATCTTCAAGCACCCACAGATCATCTTCAAGCACCCAGGCACAGAGAGCCCGCCAGGGTGGTGACTGTAGCGAGAAGCATTAGAGATGAGATCCTCTGTTTTACCAGGAGTAAAAACACTTCCTGAACAGAAAATCCTGGACCTAGTGCCATTCAAGACCCTTCCCTTAGACTCCGAGTTCCCTATTCTGCTATTTGAGTCTCCAAGAGCCATGGGGGCACTCCGAGGAAGTGTGGAGCTCAGGGCCCTAGATGCCAAGCCCACCTTGCCTTTACCAGGCATGCCCAGGTCTCCCGTCCAGACTGAGTGTGTCTGTGTCTTTAGCATGGAGGGAGGCTCACCACATCTCTGTGCTGAGGGTTTTTGTCTGGCTAGTCCAGCCTCTGTGGGGCTATGTAGGATGGAAAGATCAAAAAACATCAGACGTTGCCCCTGGCTCTAAGGGCAGCCGTGGGGGGCTTCCAATCTCACAGGACTTCAGATTGGGTCTTTCTGAACTCCTTGATTTGGTGTCAAAGTCCTTGAAAGCATTGAAGATTTCACTTGGAATTAAAGGCCTCCTCCCCAAATTTTACCTCTCTTGTACTGCAAGGGGTGACATATGTCGTAGGTCAGTTCTTCTCTTTTAGCCCAGAGACATCTTGAACAAGGTAGGATAAGAATAATACTTCTTCTGTAATACACACTTCTCAAAGTTGTCTTTTCTTGACCAAAGTAGAGGGGGAGAAAAATCAGTCAGTGGAGTGTATCTGTATTCACTGTATAAACCTACATGACTCTAAACACGTCCCATCAGACATTTTCCAGGCAGTTTTCTTTGGGGGAAGCAGTAAGTCTGTCTTTCGTCCCTCTTTAGGCTTTTTTACTTCCTTAGCTGGGTCTTGAGAGGACTTGAACCACTTTCCTCTAAGAGAGTTTAGGGTAATAAACATCTTAGCCAACACCAGAAATATTTCTAAAAAGACCAATATATCTTTCAGAACAAACAGTTTTTCTAAGAGAACATATTAAACAACCAGTGAAAGTGGTTCCATCACAGGAGGCCTCCAGAATGACTGCTGACGGTGGGAAGTGGTTCTGTCACAATCCCAGAATTGTTCCCGGGTGAGGTCCCAGCTTGGCATGCAGGGGATGGATGGTTTCCGGGCAGTGCATTCTTGGCTGGAATATAGAAGCAGTAGGCCTTGGGGTAGGGGATGAGAATGAAATATGTGTGTGTGTATGTATATGTATATGTATATGTATATGTATATGTATACACACACAGGCAAAATGTTTTCTTCCCCTTATGCACAGTCATTTGCTGGAATTTACTTGGGCTTCCCACCTTGCTCAGGCATGGGGGAGTAGGAGTCAAGTACTTCACTTGGCTTTGCTTACTTGATGCTTGCAAAACCCCTAAATAGGAGATAAATGTTAGTACCATTTTCCAAATGAAAAAGACAAACTAGTCTTGGAAATTAAGGAATTTGCTAGAGTTGACATAGCTTATACGTTCACATAGCATAAAAGCATGGTTTTAATTGCTACTTTAGGGAGCTTTACACCTCACACTGCCCTGCGGGGGTGAGAATTACTGAACACTGGTATCCATAACTATACCAACTACCTGCAGGAAGTAAATCTGAAAAATAGGGGGATTTTGTTCAGATGAACAACTGACAAAATCAGCAAAACTCAAGAACCTCATTAAAATGCTGGCAGCCATGATCCGACGTGAAGTTGGCAGCGTGACTGGCCTGAATGGGGAGGCAGCTGGCCAAACAGACCACTTCTTGTTTGTGTGCTCAGCTCATTTTCCTGCCCTTAGTCAGGGATGGTTGTGATTTGCTACTGTGGTTTGCTTTTGGAATTCTTAATCTCATTTTATGCCAGTCCTATGAGGATGAAGGAAGAAGGGTAGGAGTAACTTTTTATGTATTATAAAGTTAGAAAAAAAACTCCTACAGTAACGATGATAGTAATAGCTACTCAAGCCAGCCACTTTTCTAAGAAGTTCTCACAACAGCCTTGTTATCCAAGTGCTGCTATTATCCACATTTTACAAGTGAGGAAACTGAGGCACAGAGCAGTTAGTACATAATGAACAGGACCAAGCCAGATCTATCTGACTCCAGGGCTCCCTGTGCTATACTGACACCCAGTGGGGCAGGCATTTCCCAAGTGTCAGAGAAAGTGAAGACTGACCCTAGTTATGTCACAGGCCGCTGGCCTAGGGCCTGAAGGGAACGCACACACACACACTGAATTCTCTCTCAAAATATATTTTTGATGGGAAGCAGTCCACGCCTTCTGGGCAGCTTCCTACATCTGTTTACTCTGAGAAATATGTTTATGACTTGGGCAAAATACAGGAAATCATGACTTGTAGACTGGAAAACTAGCCAAAACAGTTTTTTTCAAGCACATAGGTATTGTGGGGCTCTCTAATAGGTGGGATTCTGCATCGGTGTGACTCTGGTTGGGGGAATGAGAGCCAGGACCAGGGATGTTAGCTTGGGATCTCCAGGTTCTCCCCCATGGCAGAGATAATTTAAAGTTTTCTTTCCATGCAGTTCTGAAGCATTGGGTGATGTTGTGTTTCTCTATCCCCAGACAAGCCGGATCCCCCAGCCGGCACACCTTGCGCCTCAGATGTCCGGAGCTCCTCACTGACCCTGTCCTGGTATGGCTCTTCATATGATGGGGGCAGTGCTGTGCAGTCCTACAGTGTCGAGATCTGGGACTCAGTGGACAAGACTTGGAAAGAGCTAGCCACTTGCCGCAGCACCTCTTTTAACGTCCAAGACCTGCTGTCTGACCGAGAGTATAAATTCCGTGTACGTGCAATCAACGTATATGGAACCAGTGAGCCAAGCCAGGAGTCTGAACTCACAGCGGTTGGAGAGAAACCTGAGGGTAGGCCTTCACTTCATCACTGGCTTGAAATAAAATGTGCATGACTGACTGACCTTGTGAATGTAGAAACCCGTACTAAAAGGGTTACAGAGAAACTGAGAAGATATCAATGATGACTGGCAGAGTTTTTTGGGATCTCAGTTTCCAAGATTGTACTGCTGATCCATACTTTAAAAGTACATGTGACCTTTCAAAACACACTGAACCAGCAATTTTGGTAGACTACCACTAGGGGGTGACGGTATGTTTATCAGGAGCACAGTCCTGGAAGGCAGGAGCTCAAATTTCAATGTTCCCCTGCTCATTCCTCCTTCTCTGGCACTCACGTATATTTGAGTGTCTACTTGGTGTCAGGTTCTTGGGACATAAAGATAAGACAAGGAGCTTAAAACCTAACTAGGGGGACATCAGGTGTAGACAGTAACTGTAATGAGATGGGGTACATCCTGTTACAGCAGTATGAAGAAAGAGAGATGAAGACCCATCAGAAATCATGAATAATTTGTCCTTGAAGATTGAGGTGCCACTTAGGCTGAGTCTTGGAAAAAGAAATGGGCCTTTAAGAGGCAGAGGTTGATAAGGAGAGGCATTCCTTGCAGAACAAAGATTCAGAGTGATGGACATGCATGGTATTTTGAGAAGTGTGTGTGTGGCCAGGGCCTATGCTGTGTGAGACTGAACAGGAGGGAGCAACACTGAAAGGACCATTCAGGTCAAACTGAAGTTCATCAGAGATTGTTAGTCAGGGGACTGATACAACCAGATCTCTTTTTTAGAAAGGGAATTAGAGCTCTGCTACTCAGAGTGTGGTCTGCACCAGCAGTCTTGAAATCCTGAGATCTTGTTAGAAATACAGACTTCCAGCCCCCCACCGCCCTGGTCCCTGCTGAACCTTCATTTTAATGTGATCCCCTGCAATGATTCATATGCATGTGGAAGTGTGAGAGGCACTGGAGTGGAGGAGGGAGATGAGACGAGTCAGCGAGGTACCAGTTGGGTCTCTGTGGTGTGGTCCAGGAAAGGATGGTAAATGCATGTATTTAAAGCCTCAGGAGGTAGATCTGGGTAGAATGTTGAGCAAAAAATTAGAAGGGTTTAAGATGCCTCCCACTTCTATGCTCAGGTATCTGAACATATATTCAAGGCCATTTAGAGGTTTGTTATTAGATTCCTAGAAGCTAACATATATTATTCATTTGCTATATGCTAACCATACGTTAAGCACTTTATAGAATCATTTTATACATCTAAGTAAGATGAAATAGATACTGTTTTTACCCCCATTTTACAGACAGGGAAATGAGGTCTAGAGGAGTGCAGCTATTTGCCCAAGGCCACAGAGCTTTTAAATAATTAGTTGAATCTTGAACTTAAGAGCTGTCTGACCCAGAGCCTTTGCTTAAACTGATGGAGGAGGTCACGCTGCCTCCCAGTGACTTGGAGGTTAGATAGCAAGGAGTCCCAGAGAAGCCAGAAATTCTGGCCTCAGCCCTGATGAGATGAGGTATCTGAAGGGTATCCAGGGGAGGTGTCTTCTGATTGTTGAATGGTTGAGTCTAGAGTTCAGAAGAAAGATTACGCTCGAGCTACAGATATGGGCATCTCCACCATTGAGCTGAAAATTGATGCCACGGGCATTGATGAGGTCCCAGGAGGGTGGTAGAGAAAGTCAGCAATGATATGGGAATGAAAGTGTCTTCAAGACAAGGAGAAAGGGCTGAGAGGGGAGGAGTCCTAGAGGAGACTGGAGCTAAGCTGTAGGGACACAGGCAGGAGGGAGCTGCAAAGAGGGCTCAGTGGACAGCATATGAGGCTAAAGAAAGGAAGAGGTGAGGACTTAGGGAGAGCTTTGGATTTAGCACTTCGATCTTTGACAGCAAAGTCCTCAGAGTCCCCATGGGGTGGGATACTGGTCGCTGTGGGGTTACGGAATGAGTGGGTGAATGGGGAGGAGAGGCGGGGTGTGGAATATTATTTCAAGAAGTCTCATGTGAAGAGAAGAAGGGTACTGTGAATTTAAGATTGGGGAAAGGTTGGGCCCAGGAGGAAAGGTGGAAAGAGACCAAGAAAAGAGCTCATGGGGGGAGAAGAGCTTACAGGTAGGAGGTGGGGGGAGAGGAAAGGACAAGAAGCTGAACAGAAATCAGCATATGACCAGGGGCACCAGGACTAAGGAAACTGTCATGACATTTTGATGCCCCCTTTTTTAGTTTTAGAAATTAGGTATAAAATAAATAGTGAAATTTTACTTTCAAATTAAATAGAAAGAAAAAGAAATTAAATTGAATCTCAAACTAAAAGTAAGTTTGGAGGATGCCAATAGAAAATACACCACGCTTACAATTTTGCCAGCGTAGCCCTGTCTTGGGGGACTTTTCCTGGTGAGCCCTAAAAATGCACAGGGAGCAGGTCTCCTTGAGAGCTACAGCATGCCATAGAGGTGTGGGTCCCAGCCCCAGGGACAACCCTGCCAGGCCGCTGCCCAGCATTCCTGTGGCTCCTGCCCACTAGCCTCACAAATGTCTGCTGGGGAAAACAGTGACCAAGCTGCCATCTGCTACCTTTGACACCCCCTCTTTGAAAACAAGCAGAGTGAGGAGCAATCAGCTTAGCGTTGGAGCGCTAGGATAGGCAACCAAGGTCCAGTCTGCATATTTTTAGCATATTACTTTATTCAAGAAGAGGATTCCCCATCTCTTGGAAAACTGGCGGGAAGAGGGATAACACTGCAGTGAGAGGTTAGCTGGAAAGGAAAGCTTCCCGGTGCTTCATGGTATAAACCAGGAGGAACTGTAGAATCCCTGATAAGCCAGCCCCACACAGAGGGCAGAGGGCCCCAGGTGCTGCAAGGTGTGGCTCCCAGGAGGCCAGGCCCTAAGCTCCCAGGGCTGTGGGGAGACTTGAGGGGAGGAGGGCTTGGGACCAGTTGGCCCCCAGCAGGTGGCCTTTCCCTTCTTCCCTGTGGCCAGCTGAGCCCTTCAGACTTTCCTCTTGGGGCCCTTCCTAGCTGGAAGCAAAGAGAAATGCTGAAATTGCCTGCAATCCAGAGGGGTCCAGGCCACCCAGGGCTTCTAGACTGGAAGCCTCTCCCTCCCTCAGGCCCAGCCGGGTTATCCATGGGGGAGGAGGAGAGGGAACAGAACAGTTGGTAAGCATTAGGCCTGAAGGGCAAGGGATGGAGTGCTGGAGGGAGTAGGGGCTTCCAGATAAAGCCCTCTGTGCCCGCTCAGATGCCTGCAGGTGGTAACCTGGGGAGGTCATCTCTCTGAAAGGAAGTGGGTGGGGGGCAGGTAGAGGAGAGCTGGGACGGGGGTTCTTGTGGTCATTTCTGTGGAGCCAGTGGGGACAGTGCTCATCAAAAAAGCAGTGCCAGTTAACCCTCCTTCCCCTAAGCCCAGCTGGTGTTGGCTTTCACCTTCCCTACTCCACCACGCCTCCTGCCTCTGCCTTAGCAGCTTGCCTTCTGCTTCATCCTGGCCTCTCTGGTCCGCCTCTGCTAGCCACCCACCCTCACTCTGCATTTGTTCACCAGTGTCCTGCCCCCCTCCTGCTGGGAGCACTGAGGATGTGGTAGAGGACCAAACATGGGGGTCCCCACTGGCTCCAGTGGCCTCTTCTGCCAGAGCCACCCCTCAGACTAGGATCCCTAGCCAACAGCTCACCTCTCGGTCTTGCCAAACCCGAGTAAACAGAGCCACCGCCCCACACACCCGCTCCCATCCCAGCCAGGTCTGGACTTCCACCCTTCTCCTTTCAAACTTCTGAATCCACTCCATCCTTGCTCCTAATCCTAATCTGTTGTAGTCGACATAGTTATTAGCAAAACAACAGTGATACCGGCTTCTTGCAGAGTTGGGGCTTCCTTACAACCCGAGGGCAGTCAGAGCTGCAGAGCCCCTAAGGCTCTCCCACCCCACTGCGCTGCCCTCTGCCCTAGGCTACAGCTAGGGCCCCGCAGAGGCCCGCTCCAGGGCTGGGGTGCCCTCTAGTGCCCGCTGGGTGTACAGCAGCCTTCGCGGAGAGGGTACAGCTGTCTGTTCAAGGGGCTGACTTAGAGCCCAGCTACCGTGGCGTCACCAGAGCCCTGCTGGTCCTCTCCCAAACACCACTCCAGGGGAACGAGACTTACCTATTTGCAGGAATATTTCAGAACCATCTTCCAAATAGTTCTTCCACTTAGCTGTTGAATCTCATAACTCTTTCTGAGTAGAAGGTTTTTTAAATGTATCATTGAAGTCCCTGCTAGTGCAATTTTTAGAAACCAATGATCACCTCTCTCATTACTACAACCCTGTATACTTGGAGAGCTTGGCTAATTGAACGTGGTCTTTCCCCTGCTACCCTCCTGCTCCTTCCTTTGTGGCTATTTCCCCCCCCCCTAAATAGGATGGAGGCAGGAGGAGAAGGAAAAGGAGGAAGGGAAATGTCTCTGCTGGAGGGCTGGTGAGTTTCACATAGAAAAGAGGTTGCAGCATTACAGCGAGCCAGAAAGAGGTGCGTGAGTGCCCTGAGGACGGTCTAGGTCCTCACAAACACAGTATCAGGAAAGCATTCTGCATCTTGATTGTTAAGGAGAGAGGCTGGAGGGGAGGGCCAAGTGTGGTGTCTATGACAGGCAGTGACTGGGAGCAGCCTGTTCTGGAGCTGCCTTCACTCTCCAAGGCTAACTGTAAGTGCCCCCGAGTGCCAGGTCACTGTAAAGCCCCTCATGGGCTCCCAGCCCTGCTGCTATTCCTTCACTAGGAAACTATAGTCGGTTTGTCCTAAAGATGCCAGGCCACCCTAGGATGTGTGGCATGGCAACAGAAAGATAAAGGGGTGCCTCAAAGGTCAAACAGTTGTCTCTGGTAAGGGCACAGGGATGCAGACGATGGGGCTTCCCTAACAATAAATGTTATTATTATTGTTATTATTTTGCCTCTAAGGCCCAGTCCAGTGACTGGCATCCACAGGTGCTCAATTGATGATTGTGGAATTGACTTGAACCTCCTGCTTCTCTTAGAGCCCTGTTTGAAACACCAATGTTGAACTAGCCTAAACATCTCTTGAGCCTATATATTCAGGTTTTCTGGTACCTCTTGAGATGTGAGTTCTGTATACCTAGAGTCTTCCTTCTATGTGAAATGTAACACTAACTTCTCTCAAATTATAATATTCATTGGTTGACAGAAGTGCAGAACCCTAATCTCACACTTGACCATTGTGGGGTTTTTTTATATCATGTCTGCTTTAGACTTCTTTCCCAACCAGAGAGGCCTCATCTTTTCTGGTCAGCTTCCCATGGCAGCTCTTCCCTCCAGTGACCTACGCCTTCTCCAGCTGGTCACAAAATTCTTAGTGCCGGCAGTCAGAGTGCCAGGAGCAGCTGACCCCAGGCTCCACCAGGCGCAGAGCAGTGATATCTGCTGGTGGCCAGTGCCCACTTCCATGACAGCCTGCTGTGAGCCTGAGCAGCAGGCTGAGGAACTGGGCTCCCATGCTTGGGTTTTAACTAGACACCCTCAGGCTTGTCACCCCCAAAGGCTGAATGATTAAATGTTCGCTGACCACATGACTCCATTACTGCCTGCATGGTGTGCTGTTCTGGGGCGTAGGGTCATCTAAGAAACTGATGTAAATGTACGATATGGAAGACTTGATCAGTTATGCTCATGTCCTGGCAATTTCTATGAAACCCTGCCACTAATCGAGAGTCCTCATCTATCAGATTCTTTTTATTTTTCAGTGGCACTTCTATGACAAAATATTCCTCCCAGCCCCGCTCATGGGGAAGTAAACTTCACCAAAAACGTTTTACGAGTGCTAAACAAATCACAGCCTCTCTTGCTCCTGGTCACACCTTTACAAACCCCTTCAGAGGTACTTGTCTGGCATGGGAACTGCCTTACTTTTCCTCAGATTGTTTGCTTAGGTTTCAGTATTTGTTTTGCCCTCAGCCTAACTGGGAGGCTCTCTGTCCGCGGGTCCGAGCTGCACCTTACCCTGACCCGCATCTCCGTTCCGTTGCAGACGTTCAACTTGCAAAGTACACAAAGCTCGGCGGGCCCACGCACAACCCCTCCCAGCTGGGCAGTGTCTGCCTGGCCCCTCTGCCTGTCTGCTCTGGTCTTCCTCCCAGGGGACATCTACATGCTGTTCCCTTCCTGTCCTCTTTTCTGCTCGGAGCTTCAGTGAGTCACACCCTTCCCCCAAGGTCTTATTCACACACAGACGCTTACACTTTTAAAATCATCGTTCTCCCTCTTTGACTTCTCCAGTGTTTGTCCTGCTTCCTCAGGAAAACTGCCTTGGCTCCATCTGCCAGCCAGGACACAGCCCACATCATGGCTGCAGAGCACAGGGCGTGTCACAAAGTGTGGTGTCTAGTATTGGCCAGGGACCCTAGAAGTTGCCTAGAGATACAACTCCTTCCAATTACAGATGAGGAAACTGAGGCCCAGAAAGGGAAAGGCACTTCAGCAAGGTTAAGAAACCATAGAGGCCCTTTAGAGACAAACCTATGCCAACCCAAAGGACAGACAGGCTGGAGTTCTGAAGTGAATGTCTTCTGTTGGACGCCTCCTGTCCCTGCACGTCCCCCATTCACTCCTGACACCTCTGTATGAGCAGCCAGTGTGGGCTAGTTTCATTGTGTGATGCCACACACCTCCCTGTTGTGTTCCATCATTTCCTTTAAGACACACCTCCAGAGCTGCTACTTCTAAGAATAATTGCTCTGACTTTATAATTGTCCCGTTTTGTATACCCAGTTTGTACTGTGGCATCATGTGCTTGATTATATACCACTTGTAATGTGTATTTCACGTATAGATGTTTTTGCCTCTCCAACTAAATCATAAGCTCCAAGGAAGAAGAAGAGATCATGCCTTTTGTGTATTTTGTTTCATGTGCCCACAATAACATACTTGGTACATGGCTGGCTTTCCATAAAAAATGTTCAGTAAGTGGATAAATGGACTTGACACAAATAGCAGTTGAAGTTTCTGCCTTTTGAGCTGGAGCAGAAAGGGACTGTCGCAGTTCTGGGTTCCAAAGTCAGAGAAGATGTGAAGGAGGTCTGTCTAGGGGCCACATGGTTAGAGCTGGAGGACTGGAGGTGAGAGCTGGTGGAGGATGGGAGCCAAGTAGGGTGATGAAACTGGTGCCCGCCGGTGTACGTGGCCCTGTTGCAGCGTGGATGACTGACCTCACGGCGATGCCCAGAGCTCTGGTTTTGTGGTCTTATGCCTAGGAAGGCTGAGGGCTGACAAGACCCCCAAAATGTTGTACTTTCAGTGGACCTTCATACTAATCATGTGTGTCCTTTCTGCCCCCCTTTGTCTCCCCTCAGAGCCAAAGGATGAAGTGGAGGTGTCAGATGATGGTGAGTGCTGACTGTTTGTCCTGGGGTAGGCTTAAGGGATAGAGGGGTGTGGGTGAGGGATCCTCTGGCTCACATTCACCCAACCCCCACCCTGCAGATGAGAAGGAGCCTGAGGTCGATTATCAGACGGTGACGGTCAATACCGAACAAAAAGTGTCTGATGTCTACGACATTGAAGAGAGACTAGGATCGTAAGTGGAGTGGGAAGCACCCATCGGGTCCCCAAGGCGAGAGGTGGTGGAGGTCCCACAGTTAAATTCTCTGCCTCACCATCCTGCCTTTTCCTGGGTTCTGCCAACTTCCCAGACTGAGACCCCTGCAGAATCAGGAGGGAGTGACCCTGTCAGTACCGCACGAAGGCACCCCCCACCCAGGGCTCTCATAGCAGGTGCTTGTGCTGGAGCGTGGGGTGGAAGGAAGGCAGCCACTGGGAAATGCACTGTACTTAGGGAGGACTTCTCAGCTTCATCTTATGGGTCCCTCTGCAGGGAAGGGGAAGGAAGCCCACCAGCCAAATCTGAGGCCTCAGCCCAAGGAGATGACAGTCCTAAAAGAACAGCAAGACAAGACAGTGTTTTGGGGGTGTGATGTGGGGCTGGGCACAGGCAGAGGTTGACAAGTGATGGAGAATAGGTTTATCAGTATCAGAAATTGTGCTCATTTAGAGCAGGGGCTGACAAACTCTTCTGTAAAGGGCCACTTAATGGGTGGTTGAGGTTTAGTGAAACGCACGGCATATGTTGCACCTACTACTCTGGTGTTGAAGCACAAACACAGCTATAGATGATCTGCATACAAATGGATGTGGTTGTGTTCCAATAAAACTTTACAAAGAGAGGTGGGCCAGATTTGTCCCACAGGCCATCATGTGCCAGCCCCAATTTAATGGAAAGCTTGACTAAATCTGCCTTTTCTCTCCTCCTCCTTTCATTTTCAGTGGGAAATTTGGACAGGTATTTCGACTTGTAGAAAAGAAAACTGGAAAAATCTGGGCAGGGAAATTCTTCAAGGCATATTCAGCGAAAGAGAAAGAGAATATCCGGCAGGAGATCAGCATCATGAACTGCCTGCACCACCCCAAGCTGGTCCAGTGTGTGGATGCCTTCGAAGAAAAGGCCAATATCGTCATGGTCCTGGAGATGTGAGTGGTCTGCCGTTGAGCAGCCCGGCAACTGTGGCCTGGGATCCCCTGATGTGTCTCCCCACTGCCCGACCCCAGCCCCTGTCCCCCACGATGGAGAGCTCTGCAGGCAGGGTTGTGACATGCAAGGCACTCACCAGCCCATGTAGCCAGGTGCTGACCGCTCGGAGCAGTACTGGGCCTGACCCACTGATCGCCAGCCTGCTGCAGCCCCTGCTCATTTCTGTAACTACCCAGCAGACCTTTGAGGACCCCTGCCTCTGTTTACCCCCACCTCCCTGTGAAAGGGCCAAGGCTACCCCTTGGTTTCATTCAGGGGCATTGTGACCAAAGGCAGCTTTTGGGTAGAAGAGAAGGGACAGAGCAGCCTCTTGTCTAGCCTGCAAAAGAGAAAGGGGCCAAAGGGTACTTGGAATGCAGGAGTATGACCCTTGTTCCCATCCTTCTGCTGTGCCCTGCAGGCTCCTGTTCCACACTGGTTTGTCCCCTTGTCTTCTCAGTCACCAAGGCGAGCACTTTTTGTGCTGGGTTATATAAAGGCAGGGGGATAGATCAAACGACCCCCAGCCAAGGCTTTCCTGGAATCCGTGCTGGGTTATATAAAGGCAGGGGGATAGATCAAACGACCCCCAGCCAAGGCTTTCCTGGAATCCATTGTTTCCTGTAGCCCCAACCCTCCACCTCATCCACTTCTGAGCGACTGGCATGCACACATGCATACACACACGCAGGTGCACATACTGGTGTCAGTAAGCTGGGCGTCCTCCACAGTGTCTATATTTTTTAAGAGCTTCCTTTCCTATTTTTAATTTGAAATTTTTTTAACATATGATACTCACAAAAAAAAATATAAGAAAATATACAGTGAAAAGTCTCATTCCCATCCTGTCCCCATCCATCCTCTTCCTACCACCCCCACCACCAGTAGCCAGTTTTGTTCAGTTTGTATCTTTCCAAAGTTCGTTATGAAAATACAAGCATATGTGAGATATGTATATTCATATCTTCCCACCTTTTAACACAAAGGTATTCATACTGACTGCTCTATACTTTGCATCTTTTCATTCAACAGTTGACCTTGGAGATAGTCTGTATCAGTATCTAGTGAGCTTCCCCATTCTTCCTGCTCACTGGGATTTCATTGTAGCATATGCCACAGTTTATTCAAGGAGTCTTCTTTTGATAGGAAGTTGGATGGTTTCCAAGCTTTTGCCTTAACAAACAAGCAATGTTTGCAACCTGGTCATGCCTGAGTACAGCTGTAGGATAAATTCCCAGAAGTGTGGGAGTGCTAGATCGAAGGGTATGTGCATTTGAAATTGTTAGAGATATTGTGAAATCACCCTCAGTGTCCTTGAATGGCTCATCCTGAGCTTCAGGGATCTCAGACCTGGGGAGAGGATCTGTTGACATCTTGGTATTCCTTCCCAGGAAAGGTGAGGCCAGTGAGGCCTCCCTATGCTGGAGGTGTGACTCTCTCCCCTGCTCCGTGAACGCTGCGGTGTATTTTCTTTCAGATTATGAGCATTGGGAAAGGCAAGAGCACAGACTTGGATCTGATAAAACTCACCTCAGTCCCAGCTCTGCCTCTTATTGGCTCTGTGACCTTGAGTAAATTACTCAGTTGTGCCAATCCTTAGTTTTATTATCTGTAAAAGGAGGTTACAGATAATAAATAGATAACCTCCTCATGAATGATGTAGGGATTAAGTGAAATAATATGTGTCAGGTGCCATGCTCTAAAACTGGGAGTCATTCCTGATATTATGATGCATTGACTTTTTCTGTACCCTGGTCTTTTTTAAACTTAAAATTATTTTGAAATATCATTTTAACACCCCACTAGGTGTTGTGGAACAAATCCTACTATTCTGGAAACCTGGGGTCAGGTTCTATTACTGCTGAGGTGTGATTTTGTAATTATTAAATCCTTCAGTGAGGAGAGGTGTTTGGATTAACTCCCTTTGTGTGTTAAATTCTGCAATTCATGGAGCTATAAAAGATTCAAAGAAAATCTTCACTCATACCTTTTTCAGTTCTGGATTCAAACTTAGCTCTGCACTGCCAGGAAAGAGTTAGTCCCTGTCTGTGACCTCACTAATCATACCCTTCCAGTATCCTGTGGGCTGCAGCTTTTCATATTTATTCTGGAACAGGCTGCTTGATCCAGGTAGTGTGGGCATGTGGCGACAAGTGAAGAAATGTCTTATCTTTAGAAATTAAACCTGGAGGAAGTTCATGAGAGGAGCAGATAGGAGGCAGCCAAGCCTGGGTAAGGCCAGGCAGCACCAGTGGGCAGAATACCATACTTAGCTTGGAATTGGGAGCTGGCAAGCAGGATGGAAAATGTTGGGAGAAAACGTAAGAGGGCTTCAGCTGGTCTGGCTTTCATCCCTCCACCCTATGCCTTCCTTGTGGACAGGAGCAAGTCTTTCATCTGTACTTGGGGTAAAGAGCTTGCCCCTTGATAGGAACTCAAAGAAGGGGGAGCAGATTCATTATTCATCTGTACTTCCATTCCAGCTTAGCACTCAGCCACTGAGAAGGCAAAGGTCGGCCTTCAGAGGGACAATTTGCTATTCATCTTGTTTGATGGACAGACTGAAATTAGGTGTAAGACAATGCCTAATGATACAGAAAAATGAAAATGTATCCAGAGCCCAGCCTTCAGCTCAGTGGCCTCAGATACAGCAAGAAAGCAGAACCAATGTGCATCGTCAGACTTTCTGACCTCCGATTACAGGACTAGCCCCCATTAGTACAGCAGCATTGCTCTGAGACAGGAGTTCCTTCAGGCTTCCAAGTGGTGATGGGACCCTGAGCACGGACGCAGACATGCATCTTAGGCTGAGTCGTCCATGGCCCATCTCACCTTGGTTCTGCCATTGGCAAAATTTATCAAAGAATAACAAGCTGGCTCCCAGGAGACAAGGAGCAGAGGGTCTGAGTATGGAGTCCCCAGAAGCACCATTCCTGCTGGCTGCCAAGGAGGGCTGGCCAGAGCCTACAGTTTGTGGAATAAATGTGATCCCTGGAGATTAGGTAGTCTTGGCAGTAGGTATTTATGCACATTCATTCATTCACTCGCTCACTGTTAATTTACTGGGTGGACATTCCCTCTGGCCCAGCCTTGGTCCTTGGCATTAGCCCATCTCCATGGGCAGCAGCTTCTTTCCACCCTTAGTCTTGACCGTTTTGAAGAGAAACCTATATAGAACCATGAATCCTATTTGGGGAACCCTTTCCATCCTAGAAATGGATGTTTTTGAAGTGGGAAGTTTTTCAAAATACATTAAATATTTTTGAACAGGAAGTTTTCAAAATATATTAAACATTTTTGAATAGGTTTGAAGCTATTTGAACCTGTATTGAATATATTACCCCTAGAAATGCAGCAGTAATTATCTGCATGTCTCAAAATTCTCTTCATTGCCTCACTTTCCCAAGGGTACTACAAATACTGGTTGCTTGATTTTTCAGAATATTTGAAATTTAAAGGCAAACATTGGGGCACCTTGTCTGTGCCAGATACTGCCAGGTATAAATAAGAGTCTAGTGATGAGCCAGACCTTTCTCAGACATTTTCACAAGCAACCTTAAGACAAGGCCGACTTGATAGAAAAACTACAGACAAGACTGTGGAAGCTAGGGAGGGAAGGATCATTATATGGAGAAATCAGGAACGATTTCTCAGAGGAGATAATGAATTTCAGCCGGCCTCCCAGGGAGGTAATAGAGTAAGCCAGTATTTCCCAAACTGGTCTGATCATAAGAATGACCTGGGGTAGTTATTAAAAATATGGATCCCTCCCAAGATTTTCTAAATCAAAATCTCCATATACAAACTCTTGTTTTTCTTCCCTATCATTTATTCTCACTCTCATTGTTTGCCTATGATCCTTCTGTATTTTTGTAACATTTCTGTGTGGTGTATTTCTTTATATTATTTTTTTAAAAATAGGGGCATGGGAATCTGTATTTTTGACAAGAGCCCCAACTGATTCTTTTTAAAGAAAAAAAATTGTGATGAACATTGCTAAGCACTCACTATGTGCCAGGCACTCTTCTAAACTCTTTCCCTGTCTTGACTCAGAGATTGGGTCAGAGGACTGGACAGGGGAACAGAAGAGACGCAGGTGACTCAGGCAGCATGGCCGTGCATTGCACGCAAGGGGAGTGTGCCGTTTGGCTGTAGCCTCTGGAGCAGTCCTTAGCAAACCATTCCTGCTGTGGGCCCCAGAAACACCACGGCCAGGATCCCAGCCTTCACAGTAGCCCAGTGAGGTGGTGCTGGTTTTGTCTACATCTTACAGGTGAGGTACAGAGATGTTAAGAATCTCCTGAGATACGAGAATGACCCCGGGAGCGGTAGAAATGGAGGGCTGGAGGACAAGAGGCGCCACCTGCTGGCCGTCTGGGGACCTCCATCTTGGTTGGGGTTTTTTTCAATATTTTATTAAGGTATTATTGGTATACACTCTTATGAAGGTTTCATATGAAAAAACAATGTAGTTACTACATTTACCCATATTAAGTCCCCACCCACACCCCATTGCAGTCACTGTCCATCAGTGTAGTAAGATGCCACAGATTCACTATTTGCCTTCTCTGTGCTGCACTGTTTTCCCTGTGACACCCCCGCCCACACAAAATGTGTACTAATCATAATACCCCTCAATCCCCATCTACCTCCCTCCCGACCCGCCCTCCCACACCCCTCCCCTTTGGTAACCGCCAATCCCTTCTTGGAGTCTGTGAGTCTGTTGCTGTTTTGTTCCTTCAGTTTTGCTTCATTGTTACACTCCACAAATGAAAATGATTTGGCATTTGTCTTTCTCTGCCTGGCTTATTTCACTGCAGCTTCATCCATGTTGTTGCAAATGGTAGGATTTGTTTCTTTCTTATGGCTGAATAATATTCCATTGTGTATATGTACCACCTCTTCTTTATCCATTCATCTCCTGATGGACACTTAGGTTGCTTCCATATATTGGCTATTGTAAATAGTGCTGCGATAAACGTAGGAGTGCATATGTCTTTTTGAATCTGAGAATTTGTATTCTTTGGGTAAATCCCAAGGAGTGGGATTTCCAGGTCAAATGGTCTTTCTATTTTTAGTTTTTTGAGGAACCTCCATATTGCTTTCCACAATGGTTGAACTAGCTTACATTCTCACCAACAGTGTAGGAGAGTTCCCCTTTCTCCGCATCCTTGCCAGCATTTGTTGTTCTTAGTCTTTTCAATGCTGGCCATCCTTACTGTTGTGAGGTAATATCTCACTGTGGTTTTAATTTGCATTTCCCTGATGATTAGTGATGTGGAGCATCTTTTTATGTGTCTTTTGGCCATCCGAATTTCTTCTTTGGAGAATTGTCTCTTCATATCCTCCGCCCATTTTTTAATCAGGTTATTTGCTTTTTGGGTGTTAACCCCTTGTTGGATATGTCATTTACAAATATATTCTCCCATACTGTAGGATGCCCTTTTGTTCTGTTGATGGTGTCCTTTGCCATACAGAAGCTTTTTAGTTTGGTGTAGTCCCATGTGTTCATTTTTGCTTGTGTTTCCCTTGCTCAAGGAGATGCGTTTAGGAAGAAGTTGCTAATGTTTATATTCAAGAGATGTTTGCCTACATTGTCTTCTAAGAGTTTTATGTCTCTATGATTTACATTCAGGTCTTTGATCCATTTCGAATTTACTTCTGTGTATGGGGTTGAACAATAATCCAGTTTCATTCTCTTGCATGTAGCTGTCCAGTTTTGCCCATACCAGTTGTTGAAGAGGCTGTCATTTCCCTGTTGTATATCCATGGCTCCTTTATCGCGTATTAATTGACCCTATATGGTTGGGTTTATATCTGGGCTCTCTAGTCTGTTCCATTGATCTATCGTTCTGTTCTGTGCCCGTACCAAATTGTCTTGATTACTGTGGCTTTGTAGTAGAGTTTGAAGTTTGGAAGTATATTCCCCCCAGCTTTATTTTTGCTTCCCAGGATTGCTTTGGCTATTCAGGGTCTTTTGTGGTTCCATGAATTTTAGAACTATTTGCTCTAGTTCATTGAAGAATGCTGTTGGTATTTTGATAGGGATGCATTGAATCTGTAGATTGCTTTAGGCAAGATGGCCATTTTGACAATATTAATTCTTCCTATCCATGAGCACAGGTTATTTCCATTTATTGGTGTCTTCTTTCATTTCTCTCATGAGTGTCTTATAGTTTTCAGAGTATAGGTCTTCTACTTCCTTGGTTAGGTTTATTCCTAGGTATTTTATTCTTTTTGATGCAATTATGAATGGAATTGTTTTCCTGATTTCTCTTTCTGCTAGTTCATTGTTAGTGTATAGGAATGCAACAGATTTCAGTGCATTAATTTTGTATCCCGCAACTTTGCTGAATTCAGGTATTAGACCTAGTAGTTTTGGAGTGGATTCTTTAGAGTTTTTTATGTGCACTATCATGTCATCCATCTTGGTTGGTTTTAAAGTGTCCCTTTCAGGGCGTCCCCCAGCAGCCAGAGGCACAGACTGACCTTTTCCAGCTCAGCCCCTCCAGAAGTGAAAGTGTTTGTCCTGTGGCGACAGAGGCTGTGGTGTACTGGGTCCCATGGTGTGTCCCTGTCTGTCTTTCCCTCAGGGGTCCACTTGGCCTGCCACAGGTTGTCAAACAGTAATTAATATATGCAGAGCATCTGCTGTGTGTCAAGCATGATGCTTTATAAAAGATCCTTCATTCCTAACAACTCTGTGGGGTAGGGACAGATAAGGAACTGAGGCTCAGAAAGGTTAAGTAACTTGTCCAAGGTCACACAGCCTGTAAAAGGCAGAGAAAAGATTCAAATTCAGCTCTTCTCTTTCTTCATGATGATTTCCCTGAGAAGAGGGAAGGCCCTTGGAAGAGGTCAGGCCCAGAATGAAGCCCACCCAGCCTTATTTAGCTGGTGGACCTATAGGCAGTTATAGAAAAGAGCTACTGATGTCCAGATGCTACAGAAGTCACCAGGGAAATGTTTTAAACTTTCTGAGCAGCAAGCAAGGTGGCTTAGAGGACTGGACAGGGGAACAGAAGGTACACATGTGGCTCAGGCAGCATGGCCATGCATTGCACACAAGGGCCATGTGCCAGCCAGCTGTAGCCTCTGGAGCAGTCCATAGCAAACCATGCCTGCTGTGGGCCCCAGAAACGCCATGGCCAGGATTCCAGTCTATCCAGGCAGGAAGGATGTGTGTCCTACACTTACAGCCTGGGCAAGCAAGCAGGTGAGATGAGCTAGTTATCACTGGAAGGGCTGAAATGATGCTCTAGGCCCAGGCAGAGGAGCAAACCCATCACAGCTGTAAGTATAGTGGGTTACAGTGAATGACTTCAGGAAAATGTGTTGAGGCTACTTATTATGGAAGATAGTTTCCTGTTCCCAGCTCTGCAAAACAAATGCTTATGGTACTGTGAGTATTTAAACTTCAATTCTCTATGACTAAAAGACACAGATGGCATACAACAATGATCCCTTACATGTCTAGAGGCATTTGGGGAAGGACGCTGCCGGATGGTTACCTGTTTTGCTAAGAAGATCATGTCTGGATCTCCCAGTTCAGGACCATCCCTGAAACCACCCAGCCTAGATGCTTTCCTGGATCCACCAGCAGCTTAGTGGGTTAAGGCAGGGTCCCCAAAGCAGGAAACCAGGAAGCCCAGGCCCTTCTTGCCCATTGGAAGACTGGGACCAGTGTAAGGGGACAGTGGCCTGGGACTCACAGAGCTGCGGAAGGTGCCCAGCACGCCCATGCCTTGGGCTTTCCTGCCAGCGCCCCACCCCTCAGCCTGCCCTTGGCCAGACTCCCTTTCAGCCCAGGCTCCACGGTCCTGTGGCCTGACCACCCCTTGTGTTCCCACAGCGTGTCTGGGGGTGAGCTGTTCGAGCGCATCATTGACGAGGACTTTGAGCTGACGGAGCGGGAGTGCATCAAGTACATGAGGCAGATCTCAGAGGGGGTGGAGTACATCCACAAGCAGGGCATCGTGCACTTGGACCTCAAGCCTGAGAACATCATGTGTGTCAACAAGACAGGAACCAGGATCAAACTGATCGACTTCGGTCTGGCCAGAAAGCTGGGTAAAGCAGATCCGCCTTCCCTATCATCCCCAACGCGCTGTGGCAGCGCTGTGGCTGTGCTCCACACGCTGGGTCTTAGAGGGAATGCGCAGCTTTGGGGTTCAGGTCAGCACAGAGGCTGCTCAGGTTCAAACCCTGTGCCTCCCACTTACAAGCTGGTGACTCTGAGTCTCACATACGTTGTCACAGTAAAACGGGGTACCTGTTGTACCCACCGGATGGAGCTGTTAGGGGGATCAGATGCGTTCTGACAGGTGAAGTGAAAAGGTGGGGCCTTGTATGTAGCGGGCTTCAGCTGTTTATTTTATCATCATCTTTATCCCCTCTTATATTTTTCCCTCGAGTGCCTGCAGCAGCCTAACTCATTTCGGTGACGGTGCTTCCTCTCATTTGCATCACTGTCCAGCTTCCAGAGCACTTCCACGTACTTCCTTTCCTTTGATTCTTGCAGTGGCCCTGTGAGGTAGGCAGGGCAGATTATAAGGCCCTATGTAGAGACTAGGAAACTGAGTTCACAATAGCTTTGGTGAGCAGGCTCCCCCACAAGCTGGGGCTGGACTAAGGACCCCAGACTCAGTTCAGTGTCCTCTGAAGAGCCACTGCTCTGCCCACGCCGGGGTGGGGGCCAGGGGCTGGGGGGAGGTGCTCGGGGCCTTTGTCCCCAGCCCTGGAGTCATTTCGGTTGGTGCCTGCCTCACACCTTCCCCTGACTAGGTGGCTCTTTGATGCCTCAGTAACTGGTGAGAGAGCTTCACCTTCCAGCCCCTGACACTGCCTGCCCAGAGAGGAGCCTGAGGGCTGGCACTGGGGGCCCTCCCTTCACTGCCCTCTGGGGGCAGCTAATACTGCCTGGTAAATCTCCTTCCAGGATACCCCGTCATAAAGGGGAGACAGAGGATGCACGGTCCTGCCAGGCTGTGACTCCCCAGTGACGGATCCGTGCTGGTGTTGGGTGAATAGGCCTGTGCCCCTCCCCCCTGCCAAAGGTGTGGTGTGGGGGCAACAGCTGGTAAACAGTAATTTAAACAAATAATAACTTAAACTAGTAATTTAAACCAATAAGGCACCACTGGCCTCAGGAGCTGGCAGTGTCAAAGCCCCAGGAATATGGCACACAGGCTCCCTTAGCGAGGGGCTATGAGGGGCAGTGGTGTCCACCAAGGCCCAGGAACTGGGAGGGTTAAAGTGTAGCACGAAGGGTTCAGGCTGGAGTTGGAGCAGAGCTTCCATGTCTAAGGGCTGTGAAATGCTTTGTCTTAGAACATTTGCTGTGGCCTCCAAAGTTAAACAGGAGGTGCAGCCCTCAGGCCAAAGGTGTGTCATCCCCCACTGCTGACAAGATCCCCCAGGAGCTGGCACCTATGAAAGCTGGTACCTGTATGCATCCTGCCAGGCATCTCTTGCCCTCTATGGCTCAGAGGCACCACCTTGGGATCAAGGTTTTTCCCAACTATCCTCCTGGCAGCTCCTGGGAGGAGAGACAGAGGAGAGGTATGACGCTACATAGAGAGAAGCCATGGAGGAGAGCGAGGGGCATGGCTCAGGAGTCAGACTGCCCGGGTGTAGGCTCTGACCCCACTATTAACTGGGCAGGTAGATCACGCCACGTCCCTGGGCCTCGTCTTCCTCCTCAGGAGCACGGGGGTCATACTTCCCCCTTAGGGTTGTCGAGAATATTAAATAGGAAAGTCCTTGCAAAGCAGGCAGCAGAGCACCTAGTACCTAGTGAAATTCAGAGAACATTGTCGAGCACGGGTCACGGTCCCTGCCTTGGGAGCTCATGGGAGAGACATAAACATGAGAGACCATTTGGGGGTGGGAGCTTTAACCGCCTCTTCTCCCCGACCCCAGCCTGCTCAGGCCATTGGAGGTGGGTCTGCAGTTTGTCTGTCTCACCGGTGCATTGATGCGCTTGTTCAGTGAGGAGGCCAAGCCTCTCTGGGCCTTGGTCAGAGAGCAGCTGAGGGCTAGGCCTCAACTCTCCCTCCTGTGGGTGGGCTCCAGGATGTTCTGGTGATTGATCCCTCTCCATCCTGGTTACAGAGAATGCGGGGTCTCTGAAGGTCCTCTTTGGCACCCCAGAGTTTGTGGCACCTGAAGTGATCAACTATGAGCCCATTGGCTATGCGACAGACATGTGGAGCATCGGGGTCATCTGCTACATCCTGTGAGTCTTGGGGCATGTGGGGAGTGGGCACAGAGTCCCTAGAAGGGTCCCCAGGCTGCCCTAACATTGAAGGGGTCAGGGTGGGTCATGGAGGCGGACCCACCCCAGAGTTAGGAGGGCAGCAGGCTCCTGTCCCTATCCATGCCAGCCTGCCCTGCTCCTGTACCGCTGAGACCAGCGTCTAGCTCCACACACGGAGATCCCCCATTCTGAGCCTTTCGCTGTCCCTGAGGCTGGCCAGTCTGGGGACTTTGGTCAGGAGGGTGGGAATGAGTCTAGTGCCACATAATTTACCTTCACTTATATAAGTGGGTCCCCAGGGAAGGGGATCCAGGCACGCTTCTCCTGGCATCACCATTGTCTTCCGAGGGCAGCATCCCATCCTCCCAGCAGGGGGGCCCCGGCCTCATCCTCGCCTCTGAGTCTAGTAAATGGACAAATTTATAAGCACTTTTGATGACAGAGTCTTCAGACAGGCCAACAAACAACAGGAAGCCACAAAGCAATTAGAACTGGGAAGTCAGGTGGAAAATACAAAACATTTCAGTTAACAGTGATTAGTGGAAGCCAGTAATCTAGACCAGTGCTGCAGAAACAGTTATGTGCACGAGTCACCTAGGCCTCGGTAGGTTGCAGGTTCTGATTCAGAAGGTCTGGGGGACCCGAGAGTTCCAGATTTCTAGCAGATTCCAGGTTGCTGACAGCACTGGTGCAAGGACTTTGGACCTGGTTCTTTGAGTACCAGGCTCTAGAACACACCTTGGGCTCTCACTGATTTAGTCTCTGACGCCCCCAGCTGAGGCAGGCCCTGAGCATGTGGTATGGTTTCCCTGAAGATGCTGCTATGCTTCCATTCATTTCAAAAACATATTTTTTGTTGATAAAGCAAAAGGAAAAATTTGACATTTTCACAGAAAATTTGAGGAGGACCCTTGAGAACATTTTCTTAGATCCCTGGGTCTTCAGACCCTAATGTCAGAAATGGCCGTAGGTGATTCTGCTGCACAGCCAGGTTTAGGAACCTTTGGAAGGTTTAGGAACTGTTAGGAAGCTTTGGCAGAAGGGGAGTGATTATTTTGTGCAATGTGGCCTTTTCACACACTCCGGAGTTTTACTCCAACTGTGGCCTGTTAGGACAGACTTCTCAGTCGAACCTGCCTTGCGGATTCTGTGCCCCAGAGTCGTCTTCTCCCTGCCCAGGGTCACCGCACCACACAGCCTCCCCTGGAGCAGCACGGAATCAACCCCCTGGCCAGGAGTGTGCGCCTCTTCCCCTCCCTCTCGCAGCCCCACTTGCAGAGAAAGGGAGCTAATGAGTACAGAATACCGCACCAGGGTCCACCCTCCTAGGTCTCTTGGTAGACAAGGGGTTTCAGGAAGGACAGTGGGCCCCCCCACCCCTTCTGAGGCTGGATGGCGCCCACACCAGGTCTCTGGTCCCGGGAGAGACACCTGACTTTTGAGAAACAGTCTTTAGTCAGCTTGCTCTGTTCAGCCTCAGCCGTTGTATGGCCGGCTTGGTCCCTGGGTCCCTCTGCAGCCATCAGGGAGTCTTACCTGATTGTACCCATCAGTTTTCCCACTGCTGTGGGATCTGGATCATCTGCAGCCACAGATTTCACATGGGCTCTTGTTTAATCCTCAGAACAAACCTGGAAGTAGGTCATGGAAGGGACTTAGCCTTCACTTGGCATTGAGGTGACCTGGGTTGAGGCAGCCCACATGGCTGCCCGCTCCCCACAGTCCTAGAGGGTGACCAGTCATCCCAGTTCACCCAGGCCTGATGGGTTTCCCAGGATACAGAACTGTGGGTGCTAAAATGAGGACAGTGCCGGGAAAATGAGAGCATTTGTCCTCATTTTAGTAAATTTTAGTCACTGAGTAGTGGCTCAGTAAATTTTCACAAAGAACACACCCATGTAACCTATACCCCGATAAGGAAACCAAGCACCCCCAGGGCCCCTGCAGCCCTCCCGGTGCCCCGCCCAGTTACTATCCCCCGAGAGGTGCCATCACCCTCATATCTAATGTCATGCATTAGTTTGCCTGTCCTTGAACTTGATATAAACAAATCGTACATGTCTGGCTTTTGTTTAACATTGTGGGAGCCATTCATATGATTGTGTATAGGTGTAGATTTTCCCTTCTCTGTGGGTGTTGTGTAACACTGCTGTGTGAACATCACCCAGTTTATGTATCCAGTGTACATTGATGGGCTTGGGAATAGATCCCAGTTGAGGGTATTTCAGGCATTTTGGTATGTGTGTTTTAGTGACTATACTTACACTTTCTGTTGGATGTATTATCTAGAAATAGAATTACTGGATCATGAGAGCAGTTTATTTTAAAATGAAAATCCTTCCAGTGGAAGAACATAGCAACTTAGATAATATATTATTTACTAGATTACTTCAAAGCTAAGACCAAGAAACATGGAGGAGCTTTTTGAAATGGGGAGAAAATAATTTTGACAAATGGGGCACCAGCCTGAAGGCGTTTGGGCAAGAGGGTGTGAGGATGCGGGAGAGGCGTGTGTGGCCCGGACGAAGGTGAGGAGAGGGCATGATAGACACTGGTCAGCCCTGCACAGCCGCCTGCACCTCTGCTGTGGGCTGCTCTGCCCTCTGGGACCAATCCTGCTCGGTTTCCCAGTGGGGACTGAGGTCTGGGAGTTCCGCTTCCAAGCTCAGGCTCTCAGCAGAGCACAGGGTGCCAAAAATGAGAATTTAAGCCAGCCAGATTGCTTCCTTTCAGTCCCTGCTATGCAAAATTCTAGAATTGCTGCTGGAAGCCTCAGAAGAGCTGCTCTGACAGTCCACATGCACCCTCTGTCCTGCCTTCAGTTGTCTGGCAGTCCTTGGCAGGACCACTCTCCACATTCGTCCCAGAGAAGCTCTCCCCATGTCCTTTTTGGGCCCTGAGAGATTGGGGGGACAGGTGATCACTTCAACACATATTTGGTGAGTGCCTCCTAAGCAGGCAGCTGGGTCTCTGGGCTGTTGTAAATTTGTTAGAGGTGCTCCTTCTCCAACCCCGTGGAGGGATCAGGGCAGATCCTGTCCCTACTGGAAACTTGGCCCCACTGCTCACCCAGGTTTGGCAGGTAGAGTAGCGATATAGCAGGTGGGGTTATGGGGCCCCCTACCCTCTCACCCCTGATTTTGAAGGGAGAAAGTAGATTTTGTGAATCTTCCGGACACTCTTCTGGTGTCCACAACACCTTGGTTTCGGCCGGAGGAGAGAAGATGGGTGCTCTAGGCCCACTTCAACTGTGAGGCATTGCAGGCCTCGCTTCCTTCTCCAAGACCTCCTTCCCTCTCCAGCCTCCTCTGGGCTATTTCCTGAGGAGCTGGTGTCCCCTGACTGCCTGTGCGGACACCAGAACCCTTCTCTGGGCCCTGCCCTCACCCCTACTCCAGAATTCCTTCTCTCCCTGCCCTCCCCCAAACCAAGGTGAAGAGCAAGTACTGCTCTGCTTTCTCCTCCCCACCCTCTTCCTACTGGGCTCAGTGACAGGCTTCCCAGTTCAGCTCAGCTAGGCACCCTCCATGGTGCACAGAGTGGGGCCATCCCCATCCAGTCTCACTTCCAGGGCAGCAGCCAGTGAGTGGTTGCAAGGTCCTTGTACCCAAGCATCGGGTGCCAACTCCACTGTGTTTGGATGCTGGGCCCTTCAGATCAGGGATCCGGGGGCCCCACGCACAGCCGCCCCTGCCCTCTGTGTTACTGAGCCCAGCATGCTCTCTGATTCTAGCTCTTGCCACCTCCAAGCAGGCCCAGGCACCACCCTGAGGTTTTGCTCTCCAGACACTTGGGCTGTGATTGGGTGATAAAACCCAGGTCTCTGCTTCTAGGCCACTGCACAAAACAATATCCAGCTTCCTGTGGTTCATGCCCAGGCCTCCTGGGGCTAAACTGGGATAAAAGACTAACCCCTTTCTCTGCACTCACTTGTTCTACTGGTACACATGTGGACCCTTTCACTGGCCATTCATACAACAGGGTCACCCGCTGCTTGAAAACCACCATGGAGAAAGTGTAGTTCAGGGGGCCTCTCTGCACCCTTCTCTCTCCTGACTTCTGCCCAGAGAGCAGAACCAACCTCTGCATCAGATTCCCTGGGCAAAGTTTTGCTGCAGTGAGGAATTAAGAATTAAGAAATTAGAATACCCTGTAGTCATGACCTTTGTGAATCATCAGCATAAAGGCTAATATTTGACCATTAGAAATTACCTTGAAGACTCTATACACTTGTGAAAGGCAATAGCAAGTGAAGAAGTACAGCATCCAATAACTTGCCCACACAGGTTACAATTTTGTGAAAACTAGAGAAATCTGTTTGGTTATACTAAGGGAAAAAAACTTCCCTCTACCCTCAGAGGTCTGGAGTTGAGAGGCCTGTAAATCAAACTGACATTAACTAGAAAAAAATTAACAGATTTAATTATGGATATATGCATAGGAGTTCACAAAGAAATGTGACTCAAGGAGGCAGTTAGAATTTGGGGCTCATATACTATTGATGCCAGGGTTCTTGTTTGTGTAGCCGAAGAACGAGCTTCACAAACAGTCAAGGTAGGAGAGCAAGGTACAGGCTTTTATTTAGAGATACAGTGAAAGGACAGAGCTCCCGGCTCACGCCAGGAGGGGACAAGAGAGTCCGTAGTGGTGCGTTGTCTAGGGGATTTTATAGACAGTTGAGGATTTTTCGAGAACATGAAAAAAACTTAGGGGTGTGGACTTGTTAAGTGGTCCCTGAATATTTGGAATTAACTTAACACAAGCAGCTTCCTCTGATGATTTCTCCCTGAGATACCAGCATCTTGGTCTGGGAGCATATGAAACAAGGCCACCGGCTCGGCCCCCAAGGTGGGCTGAGGTATTGTTTGCTAAAGAGTAAGTTAAGAATTTCTAACGTCTTTCTAATGTCTTAACTTCCTGGGTATTAAAATGCAATCTTATCTTTAAGGTGGAATCCTTCCTGCCTTTTACTGTGTTGTTTATGCCTGGGCTTACTTGCTAAATTAGTTGCCCAGTTTGTTTGCAAAAATCACTTCATCAGATCTGAAGGAAGAAAGACAGCACAGAGAGGCCTGGGCCTTTTAGTATGCTAAAGTGAACCTTACACATGATTATAAATGGTTAGCATAATAAAACATGTGCTACTCTTCTTTATCTGGGTAACATTAACTGATTTCACTGAAGAATGATTCTAGAGCTCAATGTTTAACATAGAGTTTTAGAGGGGTGAGGGGGCAGGTTCCTTGCATGTAGTTATATTGCTCTGACTGCAAATATCCTGCCCTGCCCCCTCTGGAGGCCCTCACCCTACTCTGACTACATCCACGGTCCCTGTCTCACTATTTCAACAAAAAGCGATGAATTGCAGAGAAATAACTAGACAAAGGAAAAGGGGTTCAGGAGGGGGTAAATTGTGAGGAGGTAACTAGGACATGTACAGTAAATCAAAGTTGTTTAAGTTTGTTATACAGATAAAATGTCTTTCTCCTCTTCTGAGGAGGACACCTTTACAATTAGAAGTTCATGTCAGCTAAGCAAAGAAAAATTTATGGCCTGCTTTAAGACAGAAAGGAGGGCAAAGAGCTCATTGCCTTCAGCTCAAAACAATCCGACAGGAAGAGAGTCGAATAGTTGTATTTTTAACACTAAGATCATTACATTTGTTGATTGGATTGAACAACCCAACTATTTATTATTGTGGGTAAAATAGCAATTAATCCCATAATCTTTCACCTGCCTTTAGTGCATCTCTATATCAATAGGTGATTACAAGGGGGTGTGGAGAGGAGAACCGCTCCAGGACAGGAGAGGTTTTTTGCTTCTTCGCACCCAGGACGGAGAGAGACACAGGTGAGGAGTATACTTCTTGTAAGCAATAAACAGGTTTCTCCTACTTTATTTTTCCCTTTGACTGATTTCAGCTTCAAAGGTTTACTTGCCCTGGGCTGGAAACACATTTTCCCCCCAGAGTTACAATTATCCTATGCAAATTCTAGCAATAAAGAAAAAGCCCCAAAAAAGAAAGTTTAAAAAAATCCTGCAAAATCCCACTCCCAACAAGCAGCATTACTAAAATTTGAACCCTCTCTGTCGTCATGTTCTGCATATATTGCAAGTTTTCTTTCAGAGATGTACTTTTTTAGCAGGGGGAATGCTGGGGAAGCTCCGGCAGGCAAGGAGCCAGCTGGGGCTCAGGGTATCAGATGGATGGGCTGCCAGGAAGGAGAAGCGCCAGAGGACGGGAGGTGAGGAGGCTCTTCCCGACTGTGAACATTACAAAGATTAAGCTGTATCTTTGCAGGATTACAGTTCCTAATTAGGAAAGGACGTTTACAGAAAAAGAGCTTTCAGCATTCCACAGCAGAGTTGTTTGCTTTTGCTGTGATCTTTTGGAATGCTCGAGGACTTTCCCCCACTCTTTGTTTCAAATGGAAAATGTAAAGACAGAAGGAAGCAGGTAATTGATAAGTAACAGTCAGGCTGCTTCCTGATGGGGCTAGCTTAGGTCACACAGGGTCACAGAGGTGGGGTAAGTTGGGGGCCCCTAGGAATTCTCTCCCAGTACCCTTGGTGTATAAAAGGGGAGAGGAGTGGCATATAATGGTGCAGACTTGGGGCTGCTAAGCCCCACCGTTCCCTCACTGTGACCAAAATGTGACCAAAAATGACCATCCCCATGCCTTCTTGAAACATAATTCATGTCTTGTTTTAAGACACTTTAATGCCATTTATGAAACTCTATTATTAAAAAGCAAATGTATTGATTAAGGTGAGATCAGTCCCATTGCAAAAGCCTTCTTTTTACAAAATGTTTCACCAGAGGGTTCCTCCCATGGCAAGTTTTCCTTGAAGTATTGAGGCAGGACAAGGACATGGGACAAGCATCATGATTCAGTTTCCAAAAAAGGCTTAGATCTTAACAGCATAGTAAGAACAAGAGGGTCTCCATCTTAAGGTCAAGACTCCATTTTAAAAAGAAGAGAGTTGAGAAGTAAGATTCCTAACAGATTCTTTAGTAATCAGCTAACAGCCGACCTTATGGCAACAGCAGTGCAAGTAGTCCTAAATGATGTCCCCACTGCTTGTGGTCAATCACTATCTTAGAGAAGAACCAGATCAATAAACTCCCTGTGTTTAGTTTATCTTACAGAATTATCTAGAGGACTGACTGTAGATAGTAACATAATGTCTCTCACCAGAGAGGGACATCATGAGACCACAAGTCAAACCTACACCCAACAACCACCACCCCTGCCCTTTGCCCCATTCCTGGAAAACCTTAAAAGACAGAATCCCCAGCCTTTCAGTACACCTCCTCTCTGAGGATGCCCGCACTTTTCTTTCTTTAAGTGTGTACTTTTAAATAAAGCTTTCTCACCTCAAATTATTGCGTTTTGTCTCTTTGCTATTTCATTCTTTTTCCAAGTCTTGGCTCTGTCTCTGCTTTACTCTTGATAAGTAGGGAGGGGTTTGCTGAGAGCTCAGATTTGGGCCTGCAAGTTCCCATCATCTGGGTGGCCTGGATGAAACCGCAGCTGTGCAATCTGCTCTTAGTAGTTTGCCTGAAAATCTCCTTTCTTTGGGAAATTCTCAGAACATAATCTCACTCCATCCTGTGCTCCATGGTTCCTCCAAATCCTGGAGTGGCAGGGGCTAGTCCCCATGCTGTGCAGATCCAAGTGGACATGGGATGCCAACTGATCCTGGCTTCAGGAGTTGGCAAGGAATCTGCCCTCAACCAAAGAGTTCAATAAACTTTCCCTCTTTCCCTCTGCACCTCCCTGCTCTCCACTGCTGCAAGGAAGCTGCCATTCCCTACCACTCACGCTTTAGTGAATTCTTTCCTTACCTGCACCCATCAGACCTGTTAGAGAATTCTTTCTCATCCAGAGTCAAGAACCCTCCTCCCCTGTCCGGGCTGAGGTTTCTTCTAGTGCTTTACCTGCTGTGCAGGGAGAGACCTCCCCAGACACAGCTGTCCAGCAACAGTATTTCACTGGGTTTTGTTTTGTGAAACATCAGGTACAAAAGTATTTCATGAACTGAGGCTTTTTGAATGCCAAAACATCTATGGAAGGGTTTGTATTATTGTTTACAAAGACAGATTTTTAAGGATTTGTGGGAAAGGACATTAGTGAAGCCTTAACTTGGAAGGTTGAAGGCATGAGGTCCTAGATCCATCATGGGGTTCAGGTGAGGTCAAGGCAGGACCAGCTACATAATTTGTGGGGTTCAGTGCAAAATAAAAAGGTGCAGTGACTTGTTCAAACCCTATTAGGAATGTCAAGATGACAGCAGTCAAGCACTAAACTAGGAGTGGGGCCTGATGAGGGTGGGGCTCTATACACACTGCACAGACCTCAAGCCCACAAGGCTAGCCCAAGGTCAGGGTGAGTAGGGGGGTGCTGGCTAGGTGGAGATGAGTGGCACAGAAGTGATGGGTGAGGCCAGTAAGCCATAAGTCTGTTCAGCTCTGAGATACTTTACCTTCCACATTTTATTTGTCTTAAGCTATTGGAAAATGAATCATTCCTGAGATCAGATTGGTCAAGCAGAGGGGGTGAACTGTATGCAGAAGAACTATATAAAACCTATGGTTGTGGACTGAGCCCCTTCCTACAGACCAGGCCTCAGGCTGGTGCTATGGACCACGATTTACCTCATCTTCATAGAAATACTCATATAAAGTAGCAGCTAAGACACAGGCTCTAGAGACAGATGCCTGGGTTTAAATCTCACTGACCATGAATCCTTGGGCAAGTTACCTAACCCACTCGGTGCCCCAGTTTCCTCCTCTGTCAAACCGATTACCTGGGTTATAGGGTGATGTTCAGACTGAATGCATTACTCCATTTGAAGCTCTTTGCCCACACAGTAAATGTTGGATAAATGTTTGCTGCCGTGATGATGATGACGGAGGAGGAGGAGGAGGATAAACAAGTAGAGTCAGAAGTGGTGACCACTCCGCAGCTGGGCAGTGGCTTTTCTGCTTTACAGAGGAGGAAGATGAGACACAGAGGTGAGGGGAGCCGAAGGCCAGCCAGCGAACGAGCAGCAGTGCTGTTTCCTCCGCATGGTGCCTCTTAGGGCCGCTTCGGGTTCAGCCTGAATGCCTCCGGCACACTGAGCTCCAGTGCGGATGGGTCACCAAGCCCGTGACTGGCTCACAGTCCACTGTCTGGCCACAGGCCCTTGCTGAGCGTGCCGTGTGCTGGACGCTCCGGTTGGAGCCAGTAGGTTTGAGGACAAGATGGCAGGGAGCCCCCAGGGCAGTGATGAGGCCAGGCCGCAGGACTAGTCGGAACAGCAGGAGGAAGGGACACCCCATCCGGGGACCCTGGAGGAGTGTCTGGGGGACAAAGCTCCGGCCTGGGCTTTGAGGAGGCGTAGGACCTAGGGAGGAGGGCCCTGCTGCAGGCCGTGTGGAAGTCAGGACCGAGGTGACTTCCTCCTGCCTCAGACTCACCGCAGTCTCAACACATCTGGGGCTGTAGGCGACGCCCTGAAAGTACAGTGAGCACTGAGAAGAGGCTGAGCCACAGAGGCCCGGGGAACCACCCAGGGTCTTCATTTCAAGAGTGGGGGAGACAGGCACAAGGGTGTTCGGGGGTGCCTGATCTCTGACCTCCACTGGGGGATGACCCTGCCTGCCCACCCCCTTCACCTGCTCTCCTGCTTTTATCTCCCAGGGTCAGTGGACTTTCCCCTTTCATGGGGGACAACGACAACGAAACCTTAGCCAACGTCACCTCGGCCACATGGGACTTCGATGACGAGGCCTTTGACGAGATCTCCGATGATGCCAAGGATTTTATCAGCAATTTGCTGAAGAAAGATATGAAGTAATGAGTTGAGATTTCAGCCTTGTCAGCTGCCCCCCTCCGCTGGGCTGGTGTCCAGAAGCAGGGACTCCTCTGCCTGTCTCGGGGAGGGGTCGTGGGGTGGGGGGTCTTCCTAGGCTTCTGCCCTTAGTCCAGACACTGTACTGGTCTTTAGAAGCACAGAAACCTCACTTGAAAAGAAATGCTTGGCTGAGTGTTGAGGGACAGGGCAGTGCATGAGTAAATGGCCCGTTTTGTTCTCTGAGTAATTTATGGCCTGTAGAAGCTGTGCTGAAATCTCAGCCTTGCTTTAGGGTTGCACGGGAAATGTCTTATTTGTGGGTCCTGATCATATCCCCAGGCTACTCTGGCTTGGGGGTTTCTCCTAAATCTAAATTATTTAAGAACTGCCTGCTCTAATAGGCCAGATACCTTCTCCCACTGACCAAAGTGAGACTGTGGTCTCAGACCACTGGGCTCAGCCCCCTCCCAGCTCCGTCTCTGTGTGGGCTGTGAGGTTCCCCACCTCTACCTTCTAGGGCTGCCCACATGGCCAGTGGGGGAATATATAAAATATCATGGACAGGGGGAGGCCGGTGTGTTCAGGCATATGGATGGCTGTGAGGAAAGGGCACACACAAGGCTCTCAGGAAGTGAGAGAAGAGGAGTTACAGAAGAGTTGGGGAGGGCTGGGGAGGCAGAATCTGTAGGTGAGGACTCTCCCTGTGAGAGCGACCAGTGAACTAAAGCAGGAAGGTAAGAAGGCCTAGGCAGGTGTGGGGAGGGCTGGCCTGTACAGGGGAAGGGGGTGGTGAGGTGCCAGGCAAGAGCAGCCGACCCTCTGGGCTCCTCGCCCACTCCACATATATATGGACAGACAGGCAGGACCTGGCTCCCGGAGTCCCCAGCTGGCACACTGGGCAATAGGGCGCAGCTCTAAGCTTTGCCCTGCAAGGGTGATATTGAAATAGGAGGTGAGCCAGAGGCTGAGAGGGGAGGGCAGCCGGTTGCATAGGTGGGCAGGAGGCTCTGCATTCTCCAGGTGACCTTGTGGCCTGTGCTCCGCCCTGTCTGCCTGGCCCATAGACCTCCAGAGGCTGTTGGTCATCTTGCTCCCCTCTGGAAAAATCCTGCTTGGGGCCGAGAGTGCAGTTGCTAAGGAGCAATGTTGGAGGGTCCCTTAGATGGTTCTCTCTGGTTATAGGAGCACCTCTCAGTCCTTTTTAGCCATGTCGGGGCTCAACTCCAGAGGTCATTCCACCCTCCCTGACAGTGAGATCTCTTTAGCATTTTGCTTTCAGAGTCTTTGTATCATAAGTAGGCAGGACCCAGGGAGAATCTAGATGTTATGGGGGATCTGGGTTCCCTTCCCCTATGAGTGATCCCCACTGGTAGGTGCCTCAGGGAGATGCAGGCCTTCCTAATAACTCTGGTACAAGGACGGCTTTTGTCAACCAAGTTCATCCAGTGAAGATTTAGTAAATGAGGTATTGTGTATATACCCTATTTCCTCAGCTGGCCTTGAATTAATTCAGTAATGAGCTGTGTTGGCCCCTCTATGCTCAAAAAATGGCCTCAGCAAAAAACTGATTTCAAATAAATCAAGACACTAGATTCCAATAAACTCTTTTAAATATATATACATATATTTTTTGTATTCAAGTATACTTGATGTACACTCATAAACTCTTAAACTCAGCATCTCTCCAACCAGAAATCTCCCTCTATCAACACTTCTTAAAAATATTTTTCTATTATAAAATTAATACATGTGAATTGTAGAGATTTTGAATATTAAAAAATTGAAATAATCCTTAATTCCCTTTAGCTAAAGATCCCTTTTGCTCTACTTATACTCATTTTTCTACACATGTTAGCATGTGGTTCTTTGGGCTTTGTTAATCCCATAACAATTAAGGTGATGGCCCTGAAATATTTATGGATTCCCAGAGCTTTCAGAAAGATTAAGTGAGTTTCAGTACAGTTCTCAGGTTGTTGTAAGTAAGAGGTTATGTGCGGGACATACCTCTCTGTGTTTAACAGGAAAAACCTAATAACCAACCACACCATAAGATGAGAGTTCAGTGATTTCTCAAGAGATTGGGGCCCAATGTTTCCCTCTCCCTCCACCAGACAGGACGACAGAAGGATTCAGCCTCCACAGCCCCCTGCTCGCATGTGACCAGTGGAATGACCCCACACTGGGCGATGGGGCCAACCAGCCCCTGACTGACTGTGCTCCAGCACTTAGCCTTCCTAGACCCTAAGCTGTAGGCTGCGAGACTCCAGTTGCTTCTTAACACTAACCTATCCTGGATCTAATCAGTGTAACCAAGGCCAAGAGAGGAAAAAGGCCAGGAGCACAGTGGCCTTGATCAGGGTGGGTGGACTGGGAGCAGAGGACTGGGCTCTGCCCCCATGGGACGGGGACAGGTGACCTCCCATTTCTGATTTGACCAGCAGTCTGTGAGGTCCCCTCCTGCTTAGAAATCCTGTGATCTCTGCCTCTGTCAGAAACCGCCTGGACTGTACCCAGTGCCTTCAGCATCCATGGCTAATGAAAGACACCAAGAACATGGAGGCCAAGAAACTGTCCAAGGACCGAATGAAGAAGTACATGGCCAGAAGGAAGTGGCAGGTAATGAGGGGGTCCCTCCGGACCGGGATGCTGCCTCTCATGTTTGCTTTATTCAAGCCTTGTTCCCTGTTTGCCTGGCTTCACTCCAGAAATGTTTAAATTTGTTTCTGAAATAGTCTGGGATCAAAACTGACATTTCATGTCTTCATAGCTAGGGATGAGCAATGTCACCTTTAGGATTATTTGGCAACTTCATTTGGAGCATGTGATCTCCTTAAAGGTAGTGTGATGACTTCTTTATGATGAAGGAGGTGGGCACATGCTGTATAAGGAGAGATGTGTCCCTACCTTCCAGGGAGATGGTAGTTCACTAGCTACATGCCCTCGGGCAAGTGACAGCCTTGCTGTGCCTTTATTTTCTCATCTGTAAAGTGGGGATTACAGTGGTACTAACTTAACAGCATTGGTACGAGGATTATGAGATGATCTTCATCTGGCCTCTAGCACATCGCCTGACACATGGGAAGTGTTCAGAGATAAGACCAGCAGCTCATATGTATGGAGGGCTAACTGTGTGTTGGGGAACATTCAAAGCACTTTCTATGCATTAAGTCTTTTAATCCTAGGAGGCAGGCACTATTATTAGCCCCACTTTTCAGACAAACTGAGGGAGAGAAAGGCTAGGACAGTCACCCAGGATCACCTAGCTGGTAAGTGGGAACGGCAGAATTCTAACCCTGGGTCTGGCTCCAAGCACACAGTCCTAACAACAACAAAATTGCCTCTGATTGTTAGCAGATGGATAAATTATCATCTAAAAACACAGAGACCTTATCTATCTTATTATTTTTATTATCACCACTAGTATAAAATTCCTGGGCTACTGGAGGGTGCATGGTTTCTGTACTCAAGGAATGTATAGTGCGATGGGTTGAAGCAAATAGACATAAAAGGACATACCGCACACCAAGAATCGTAAACTATCCGTATAGCTCTCCTTCCCATATATGTGAGTGTGGCCAGAAAAGAGCCCGTCACAGCAGCATTGGATGTGGTTGTGAGGAAATGCTGTCAGGGGCAGGAGTTTGAAACTGGCCATGGAGAATGGGCTGGAATACCACAAGGGGAGAACAGCAGACGGAAGAGAAGGCCCAGAGGCGGGAGCTCATCCTGGCTATGCGGGCCCGTCAGGCGCAGAGCCTGCAGTGGCGCAGTCAGGTCACCGGGGCATTTAGGCCCTGCCTGTGTGGCGCAGAGAAAGGAAATCGCTATTCTAGGGGCAACTGGGACACTGGTAGTTCGCCACACAGGATGACTAAAACACGGTTTTCTCAAGCACTACAACTTCGCAGGTTGAGAGAAGAAGCAGAGGCAAAAGGAGGGCTTCAGGGGTGTGGCTTTAAGGGACCACCATCCCCTGCACATCTCAGTCGGAGCCCCCACAGTGGGCTTCGGTTCTTGCTCCCCATCCCTGCTCCCCTGTCCCCAGCGTGTGGAGGTTTAGGTGGAGCTCTCGGCCTCTCTCAAGTGCCAGGTGAGTTGGAACACCTTTCCTGCTTATTTACCGTCTGGGGCCATTAGGATCCAGTGAAATCAGAGCAGTAAATATTCTTAAACAACAAAACAAAACAAAAGGGGGCCATTAAAATAAAAAGTTGGCTTTATTAATGATCCTCTGGCTGGGAGACCTCAAAGAAAGAGCGCTATTTCTGGAGCGGACAGGGTGGAGCAGTCCTCTGAGCAGCCGTCCCACCCGGCTTTGCCTGGGTGAAGCTGTGGGTTAAGGAGCAGCTGTGTCACTTCAGGCTGTCTGGGAGAGACACACCTCTTGGTGAACTAAAGCCAGGAAGAGCCGAAACCCAGGGATAGGCACAAAAGAGCAATAAGGGAAGGGGAGCAAAATAAACGAAATTTTTCAGGCAGGTGGGACACGGAACCATAATTTGTGCTGGTGTTGTAATCACTTAAACTTTTTTTTCTTATTGTTTACAATGTTATTAGCTGTAAAGTTTTCTGGAACTGAGAGGGGAAAGAAAAGGGTAGAATTCAGAAAAACAAAGGTGATTTTGTACTTTAATATAGGTAGCAGCATTTGGAGATGGTTTTTCCACAAAAACAGTGGCTAGCTTTCACAAAATTACACACAAATGTAGTCTACAAAATCCCATTCGACACACAATGTCCTCAAGAGTAATTTCACTGGTAATAGTTCAGCTGCATTGACCATCTTGTGCTGTTTCTTCCTTAGGAAAATATTTTCCCCTTTGAGCTCCAGACACCAGGACCTTAGCAGCCCTGGAATAGGGGCTTCCCTCTCAGAGTGTCTGAGGCTCTGCAGTGGGGCAGAGAGGAGCGGAATAGGTCAGAGTGTCTAGTGGGCGGGGGAGAGCGCCAGGGCTGGCAAAGGGTGGTCCAGAACTCTCTATAGCTGCATGAGAGAAGGATCCTTGATATGGTTTTCACAAAAGGCCCAGCATGAAGGAACTTGAGAACAGATTCCTGCAAACAAGGCCGTATATATGAGACAAATCATATTACTGATCTCAATTCTGAAGTAGGGTTTCTTTTTATTTATAGCAAAAGAATTTTTAAAAGACGTGGTGGCGAGCAGTGGCCTTGGTGGGCATAGGGGGCAGTGAGTTGAACAGGGTAGCAGGACTTCTGCATGCAAAACTGGAAGCAGAGCCCTAGGAATTGGAGCCCATGGACAGCTGTCTTTATTTTCTGAGAACCACAGAAACTTCAGCGGTATGAACCAAAGGGCTATAGAGAAGAAAGCCTTTGACTCCGTATAGTGCAGAGTACTCTTGGCCATCACGTTTGATATTATGCACTCCTCAGAGGAAATTATAGTCTTGGGACCGTCAATATATATGTAGCATCTGTGATGGCTGGCACGCTCGCTCTGGGATGGCCAACTTGCCCCAGTTTACAAGGGACTGACTGTCTTGGTTTTAGCCCTGAAAAGCCCTCATCCCGGGAAAACCCTCTGCCCTGGGCAGACAGGCTGGCTAGGCACCCTCACTGGCTGCATTAGGGTCCAGACATTGCCCGCCCAGGGCATGAGAGTCCAGCCTTAGCAATTGCCCTCAAACAAGAAAAAGACTTCCTCAAAACAAAGATGGAACTTAGAGAATTGAAACTTTCTTTCTTGATATTCCAAAAATTTCTAAAAGTCTTATTCAATAAAGCAGAAACCAATTTTCAGCTCACAGGAATGAAACTCAAAGACTAGAACAGATATTTCTTTTCCAATTCTGATAAATAACTTCCCTACCAGGTTTTTTTTTCATAAATGAGTTTCCAAAGTTTGAATTCTGATGTAGATTACTTACAATTCTCCATTTCAGAAATTATATGCTGTATTGTTCCAACTGATGGAAAATTTTGCCCATGTGTTGTCTGTTTGTTTGTTAATGTGTATCTGCTACCTCATCTGAAATAATCTCTTATTTGCCTTGATCTGGTAACTCCATATTAGTCAGTTTGCCAATAGAAGAGGAAGGACTTCATTATTCCACACCATGTGAGTGAGACAGTCCTGGTCAGTCACAATCCAGGTGTTTGGAATTAGGGAGCCCCTTGACTTAAGGGGCATGCTCCATGCTCCACATTCATATGTATGAATCATCTTCCTGTAGAAGACTAGAACTAAAGGGAGATTCAAACAGGAAATGAGGCTCAGAGAGGGAAACTGACTTGCACAAGGTCACACAGTAATCAGTGGTTAGAGAACTATCCTGTGTCTTTTTGGGAGAAAAAAACTCTGAATTTAAAGACTCCTGGTACAGGGAAAACCAATCTGTTGGAAAAACGGAATGGAGAGTAGAGAAGGGCTAAGTCTGAGAGTTTGGCTGCTTAGGAAGTACTCTAGTCTGACGTCAACTCCATAGGGAGGGCTGCCGTAGCTGGCACCACCTCTTACCCCTTCCTGAGGTCAGGGTAAGCTCCCATGGGAAGAGCTGGGTCTCTCTACACTCCAACTAGCACAACAAACACATCAGTGATGTCACCAGCAGCAGCCTCTCCCAGAAAGCGTGCAAGATTGCCAGGTAGTCTCAGTCGGCAGGGCCACAGTGCCTCTGCACACAGTTAAGTTGGTCAGTTGTCCTCTGGCACCCTCCTTCCCTGCCTCATCACCTGCACCTGGGGCTCCCTGAGTTCTGTTCAGTGACCCAGCTTCACTTTAGTGATGGAAGGCCAGAAGTAGGACCACACTACCATGTGGGGGGATGGCCAGAGGACAAAGCAGGATGAACTATGAAAGTAGTCTGCAGCAAGGATGGCATGTGACATAACAGAAAAGCAATTGTGGTCACAGCAATAGTTTTCCCCTTAAACCACACACACACACAATTTTCTGTATGATTCCTTCGTGCCCTGAAATTATTTACTTTGGAAATAATCTTATACTGAAGCATACTGGCTTTCCAGATTGTCCAAAATTGTGAGGCTTCACTGAAATACTTGAGTGTATGAAGTTAATTCAGCAGGAAATGGCTTTGCCTGCAGATTGAGGTCCAAGGCCATTTGCCTAAGTACAGGCTGTTTGCTTCTTCTCTCAGTAGCCCGTCACTGGTGACATCTGCTCTCTGGATACATGACAACTGGATGCCTAAAAGCTCCTTTTGGGGCAGGGATGGAAACAGTTGGTTATGCCTTAGTTCTTTATGTTAGTCATTCCATGGACCTTAGGAAAGGGGTGGGAAATTTTGCCATAAGGTGAGAAACATAGACACAACTGTACATTATTGAGGATTTCTTGACCTAAATCCTATGGTTGGTAGAATTTTCACAATGCCAGGAAAATTTTCACCTCTAGTTCTGGCATCCTTTCCAGCAGAAATTGTTCCCTCCCAAGGTGCCCTGCCTCAGAAAGGCAAAGTGCCAATCATTTTCATTCTTTTCGGGTGCTTCTTTTCTTTTTTTTTATTAAAGTATCATTGATATACAATCTTATATGTTGGTTTCAAATGTACAACACAGCGGTTCAGCAGTTACCCACATTATCAAATCCTTATTCCCTCTAGCATGGTTATTATCTATCAACATAGTAAAATGTTACAGAATCAGAGACTGTATTCTCCAATGGGTGCTTCTTTTTGATGCCTGGGTGTACATCAGGGAAGAACACCCCTCCAGAAGTTCACTGCATTCATAGACTCATGCTGGGGCCAGCCAGAGTGTTTCTTGAAATCCTTTAAGTATCTGAATCATAAGCAGAACTAAATGAGACCTTAGAGATCATCTTGTCCAACTCCTCCTTATACAGAAAAGGAAACTACAGCCCAGAGAGGTTAAGCAACTTGCCCAATGTCAACAGATGCTTGCTTGCAATTTTTTTTTTTTTTTTTGCATCAGGGCCTGTGGGATCTGTAGTAACTATTCTCCTGACCAATTAAAATCCTATCACTGGCATTGTTTTACGAGAAACAGCCCCGCTGGGCCCCGCCGGCAATAAGTCTTTGGAGCTGTCTCAGCCTGCAGTGGCTTTATATAAACTATCCCTTTTATGGGAGTTGAAGCACAGTATGAAAAGGGTTTTTGTCTCATGTTGACCTTGTTTAGTCACATTAACGCACACATCAGTTCCAGGCCCCATTCCATTCTCCGAACATCTTCTGACACGCTGATAGTGCTGAGCGGAGCAAGGTTGGACTCACTCCTCTGGCAGGACCTCGCCAACTCAGGAGGCCCTGGTTTCAGGCACAGCCGCTTCTCCTGGGCTGGGCTGTTCTCCTCAAGCCCCTCTGCCCGGCCAGAAGCAGGGACGCTGCCTGTGTCCGACCCCGGTGTCTCTTTTCCAGAAAACAGGCAATGCTGTGAGAGCCATTGGAAGACTGTCCTCTATGGCAATGATCTCAGGGCTCAGTGGCAGGAAATCCTCGACAGGGTCGCCCACCAGCCCGCTCAACGCAGAGAAACTAGAATCTGAAGGTAAGGAGCTTCAGGAAGGTGTTCTCCAGCCAGCCGGTGAGAAAGGAAGGGCTGGGGATGGAGGGGCATCTTGAGGTTTGGGGGCTTTTTGTTTTTTCATAATACAACCCACAAGGATTAAATTCTAACTACCTTTATTGCCCTGACAACAATTACTCTGTCTAGTAATTACTCTTTAACTGTTGATCCTTAGGTTTAATGATTTTTAGCGGGAAATTATTATTTATCTAGTAGAGCTAGTTGAATGACCTCCACTCTTCTTTTCCCTGTATTTTACATACGAATTAGCAAGGGTTTTATTCAAAGCTAACTTTTCTCTCATTATAAAAGTGACTACCTGTGTAGTGATAGGCAAACATAAAATAAAAGTCACGAATGGTAGTGTATGTTTTAAAAACATCCTTCCATTTTTTTTTACATGTCTTTGTGTTTTTTCTTTTAAACAAAAATAAACTCATATAGTCCATATTTGTTTGGCATTTTCCATGATGCTGAAACATGTCATTTGAAGCAGGTAGACTGCTACTGGTAGGGACCCTCCTGGATGCCAGGAGGGTTAGTTGCCCTTCTCTGAGATGCTGCCCCATCCATCTCCTCAGTGAAGGCCTCAGCCTCTTCCTGCTTCAGATGTACGTGGGGTCTGGCCTTTACCTTGGCCAGAGACACCCCTCTCCCTCCCGCTGCCTGGTGCTTTCAGTATCCAAAGGCGAGAAGCTGATTCTGGATGCTATGTGTGCACAAGGGCAGGGTGATTGGTGAGGCCACTTGCTGGGCTTCTCTGATGGGGCGGGGACAGAATCTGCACCACATGGTCCTGGGCCCTCCTGATCCACTCCTGCTACTTCCCAGGTAACCCATAAATAGCCTGGAGGGGAGGGGAGAGGATTCAGGAGCCCCTCCAAGTTACGGCTTTTCCCTGGACCGATCCCAAGTACTGGTCACCGTTGTACAATGTGAAGGCAGCATGAGTGTGTAAAACAGAACTATAGGCAAGTCCAGGATGCCCCTGGGACCTGGCTTCTACTTTCTAAGGGGCAGGTGAAGGGCCTGCTGCTGCAGGAGAGTGTGGGGGGTGCAGGGGTCAGGATGGCTGGTGTGGTTCCATCCTTCTTAGATACCCCCAGGTGAATCCTGAAATAGCATGAGATGCAGCCAAAAATCCTTTTTCACGATTATTTCCTTTTTCAACATGTCAGCATAAGAGAAGGAGTGGTGGGGAGGGGAGTCTGAACGTGTCTGCAGTTTAGTCACAGTTCTCTCTTCTGCCAAAACCATTTGGCAGCAAGCCAGCCTGTCCCCAGGAGAAAGGTGTGCTTATGGCTCAGTCCTCTAAGCTGCATTATGTGCCAGTTTATAACTTAAAAAAAAAAAACAAAACAACTCAACTTTTTTAAACTAGGGAAGAGGAGAGAACAAGAATTAAGAGATAACCCTGTCCTCTTACCTTCTAGAAGATGTCTCCCAAGCTTTCCTTGAGGCTGTTGCTGAGGAAAAGCCCCATGTAAAACCCTATTTTTCTAAGACCATTCTTGATTTAGAAGTTGTGGAGGGCAGTGCGGCTAGATTTGACTGCAAGATTGAAGGTAAGTTGTAGCTGTCCTTCCCTTTACTACAGAAGAGCTGTGGCTGGCTGGCGGGCCCTGGGAAAAATGTTGGTTCTGGGCAGCCTGGGAGCACTAGGAGGAGCCAGGCTGTGGGGGAAACTGGGTCGGGAGGTGGGCCACTGCCCCCGCACCACCTCCTGACGGTTAGTGTCACTCAGTGACTTGCCTAGAGCATGTTTGATATTTCATCTACTTGCATCAGCCACTCAACTCGACCCAAGTTAAAAGTGGCTTATCATGCACCTGTTTGACCCTGAAACGTGCATAAGGAAATGAGCTGCAGGCATCTGGGAGGCACGTGGATTACCCACTGGAGGCTCTCAGGGGAAGGCTGACACAAAGAGCACGGGGAGTCCACGGCTCTGCTGCTCTTCAGCGGCTGTGTGAGTTGGGGGGCACCTGTCCCTTCTGAGCCTCAGGCCCTCCTCCGGAAGATGACATCTGATGCCCTGAGTGGCTCTGGGGATTCTGCGAGATGACATATTTGAAAGGGGGAAACCTTTTAAGTCTTTTAAAGATATCACGGAGCCAGGGGAAAAGGTGTGGGATTGATTAAGTGCAGAGAGCCAGCATGCAGGGTGACTTCATCAAACTGAGGGAAGCTGGTGTGCAGGTCCCTGTACCATTCTCCCTGTGCTTCTCTGCCTGCCCAGGGGAATGTGGCCACAGAATCGTGAGTCGTTAGAGCCCCGGGGACCTTAAGAGATCTTAGCGTATCACCTGAGCAACTAGAGTGCCGGTGACACCCAGCACTTCAGTCTCCACAGACTACAACATTCTAGAAAGAATTAGAGGGAAGATAAGATGGGCCTCTTTGCTTCAAGTCTGTGACTGTCATGTGCCATTCAGAGTGGAGGGTGAGTTCCCGTTTCAGTCTGACAAAGTAAAGCACCAGTGTTCATTATGCAGCTTCCCCAAGGCTGCGCAGCACAGGCCTTCACAGAACAAATCATGCCTCCCGCTTTGTAGGATTCTCTAGCACAGAGATAATGCCTCGTGGATAAAGTAACCCAAAGTTAGGAATGAAAAAACAACTTCTCTCCTGCATCATTATATGATCAAAAGGCCTTGTAAATGCTTTGCCTACCATAATCTTTCTCGTTTTTTATTCGATTTTTAAAAAATGGATGTGTGGCCTTTCTAAGTGTGGATGTGCTCAGATTAGGGGTTCTGTGGGAAACTCTGGGGCCACTGCCTGTAACTCTTGCCATCACCATTGTCTTGGTGTCTTTTAACTTTTCCTTTTATTTAAAAGAAAATTATTATAACATAGTGATTATCATCTTTGTACTCTTCTTTTGGGGATTATTTCCTTGGTATTTGCGTAACTTCAACTGTAGCACTAAAGTGAAATTAAAGCATATGGATGCTGTTCTGATAAAAAAAAATTCTACTTGAAAAGAATGTTAGAAGTCTTAAGTTCTTATGTGTAACCTTTATTCTGATGGAAGCTACAATTTTTTTTCCTGTAAAAATACCTCTCCAAAACTTAAAAACATGTCAGTTGTGGTTATTATATACTTACATATTATTATATACTTTAAAGAAAAATATATATGTATGTACTATATACATGTTTCCTTTTTTTCTGCTGAACTTTGCAGAAACATGACTAAAGCATAAAATGAGGCTAATCAATGTGGTCCATTTCCAGTCATCTACAGGGATGATCTGTCTTTGGATCAGACTAAGACAAATACTGCTTTCTTTTCTTAGCAGTATTACCAGGTCCTCCAATTTACGTTTTGTATGGCTATCAGCTTTGAGTTACAATTTATATACTGTAAAATTCACCCATTTTAAGTGTACAATTATTTGCAGAATTGTGTACCATCACCACAGTGGCAGGGTAAAATTGTTACCACAATCCAATTTCCATCACCCCCAAGTGATTCCTTGTACACATTTGTTCTCTTTTTATTTGAATATGACCTTTTTACAAGATTAAAAAAATTCTCTTTTCATCCAATTCTCTTTTCATCCAAGAAGACACTTAGCTCCAGGCACGTAACTGGAGTTGGAGTGGAGTTCCAGTTAGTACTCTGTGTCCGCATGAGGGTGGGAGGTGGTGGGCAAGCCTCACATGGATGGGAAATCAGATGACTGTCAAACACCTTATGTGGGGTTTCAGATTTTGCTATTTACAGTACATGCCCACATTCAAAAGTAAATATCAAAACAATGCCAAAAGCCAGTCTTATACATTTTTTCATCTACCCCCTTCATCAGTACAGGTAGCTTAGGAGTTCTGTGCATGAATTGTTCAGAAACTTTGAGTCACGGTTTATGCAATTTGTCTTCTCTCCCTGTAATGCAGGGTACCCAGACCCTGAGGTCGTCTGGTTCAAAGATGACCAGTCGATCAGAGAGTCACGCCACTTCCAGATAGACTACGATGAGGATGGGAACTGCTCGTTAATCATCAGCGATGTTTGCGGGGACGACGATGCCAAGTACACATGCAAGGCTGCCAACAGTCTGGGCGAAGCCACCTGCACAGCAGAGCTCATTGTGGAGACCATGGAAGAAGGAGAAGGAGAAGGGGGAGAGGAAGAGGAGGAAGAATGAAACAGAGCCAGAAAGAAACCATTTCCAAGTCACACTACAAAGACTATTCCTCTAAAGCTCAAAACATCCAAGATAGTAAAAGCACCTAGTGTGATAGATTATCTAGTTAGGTCATTTGGGGGTGGATTCAGCAACAGCGGTTGATACCTAGCAGTGTATTGATGGGCATTAATTTTAATTAGTTGGCACCTTAAGATCCTAGTACAGCTAGATTTCATTTTGGGAAATCACCAACACCTTGCCTGATGCATTGATTTTAGAAAGTAACCAAAGGAAATGTTCATCTAGGCAAAACTTCCCCAGTGGAAAACACTCGTGAAAAATAAGGCCCTGTGGCCGCAGCTCAGCCCAGAGGGTCCCTTCAGGGGGAGGTCTCACTCCAGCCCCTAACTCCAGAGAACTGGGTCCTCTCCAGTACGGCAGCACGTCATTCGGAATGCAGTTGAGCCATGTTAACTTCTGAGGCACATTGTATTCCAAAGTATACTGTAGACGTTTTAACTTTTCATTTCTCTCCCCTGTTCTATCTGCCAGTTTTTCTGGATCTGAACTTGCCATGAGTTTCAGCATTAAGGACATTATGCTCCTTAGATTCTGAAGACAGGTCCCCTGCTCATGGATGACTGGCTTCCTTGGGAAAACAGAATCTCTTTTCTTCCGAAATCAGGAGGCAATCTAAACTTATCCCCTCTTTGCAGATGTCTAGCAGCTTCAGACATTTTTATAAGAACCCGTGAAAAAAAATCCTTGCTCATGTGCTTTTCTTCTGAAACCAGGGTTCATATTTGTGCTGTTATAGAATATCAGCTCTGCATGTGTGGTAAAGAGTTTTGTGTTTGAATGTATAAAAAAAAGTTTGCTGAAAAGTTAGTCTTAATTATTTATTGGCCACTATGAAACAGATTTCAACTGATGAAGAGCTGTAGAACTCCACATACTTTGGAGTCTTCCTTCAGGATAGTCTGAGTTTAATACACCTTCGTTCTAAACACTCTCCTGAGAACTCTGCCTACCTATTGGTTTCACGGTGTTTTTCTTCTTGAATGTGCATCAATCATGCCTTACCCCCAACCTTGAAATATACTCTTAGACCTGATTAAATGCACTCAGACTTGCATCTTTAGGAATTTTTAACTCTTCTTTCACTACATTGGCACTTAAAATTTTCTTTATAAAACTTTTTGAAGGTCATAAACAGACTAATATGCCTAAACATTTCTTCTGTGTGTGTGTATAACATTCCAAATACTTTTTTCTTTTCCACTGTTTGTAAAGTACAGCAATTTAACATTTCAAGGGACTGTTTAATAGTTCCTTCAGAACCAATTTTAAATTACGTAAGTGCAATCCTACACAGTATCAACTTTAGAATTTTGATATTAGTCTTATGTTCTTTTCCATTGTTTTTCTCTGCTTCTTGCTGCTAGTTTCAAATGCCAGTATTTTTCTTTTTGCTTCTTAAACAGTATTTTTCATAATAGCCACAGTATTGCCACAGTTTATTATAATAAAGGGTTTTTAATGTGATTTAGAGCATTCAAAGCTTTTCTTCATCACTTTGTGTTTAGACTATAATCTTTGTGGGCATGTGTATTGTATGTGTGCGTGCATGTGTGGTGTGTGCTTGTTTACAGGTTTGTAATGCCTTCTTGAAATTGTGTTAATGTTCTCCCAGTTTATCATGCCATCGGAATGGTGAATGAGAACACTACGACTGTAGTTAGCTCACAGTGTTTAAATAAAGGATTCCACAGTGCATGCTGTTTGTTAGTCTCTGCAGCCTTCTCTTTCTTTCCGTGACACCAGCGGCACCCAAACAGGTATTGGAAACTTAAAACAAATGCTGTGCTGCAAAAATGGCTTATATGGTTGTGTTCTTATTAAGGAGCAGATGCCTTAGGCAGTTCATGTTTATACTAGATAGCCTCGTTTGCACCTTTAGTTCAAAAGTTCTCTCAAAGATCAGTTTGGTTCAGTTACATTCTAGATACCGGTGGTATCCTTGTAATGCTAAAATCTATGTGACAATGTCAGCATGTGATGAAATCGTCCTCATCATTAATAGTATTTATCAGGAATTCATTCGTTTGCATGTGTAACTTTGATACAGTTTGTATGGGCAGCCAAGTGCTATCTTTCCACGTCTTGATATGGAAGCATTTGTTATTAGGAAACTGTCACTCCTGCTTTATAGGAGTCTATTATCAGATATCAGTCAGGGAGTCTGCATGTCTTGAGTGTCCAAACAATATTATAGATCGTCTAGAAAGAATCAAGACATGCTATTGAACACTGGACACAAGTATAATCTGGAAAGAATCTACCATCCAGTTAATAAATATTTAAATTTTTTCCTCTTTAAAACAACCACAATCCACAAATGTTCCTAGTGAGGAAATTATTATTTTAAAGAAAAGGACTTTTTATTCATTGCTAGTAAAAAATGCATTGATTTTTTACTATTTTTTTTTAATACTAAGTTTGTGGTAATTTGTTACAGCAGCAATAGGAAACTAATAATAGAAGTTGCTTCTTTTCAGATAATTCTTTCAACCTATATCTATTTAAGAACCTGATTCATTATCATGTCTTAGTTTAAATTTAAATTTCCAGCCTAGACTCAAGGCTATTGATTTAAACTCTTATCACCTCACCCTAGTTAGCCTTCTGTAGACACATGGCTGTGATCTATTACATTTCTTAACCTTTTATCTCCCCTTACTTTAATGACTACCTTTTCATAACACATCCCTTCCTTTCTGTATGATTATGTTTAAGACATTTCTCAAGATGTTTCCTGACTTCTCTCCTCTCACAACAGTAACTGCTTCATAGTCCTTAGAAATGCTCTTGTCTTAAGATCCTAGTACAGCTAGATTTCATTTTGGGAAATCACCAACACCTTGCCTGATGCGTTGATTTTAGAAAGTAACCAAAGGAAATGTTCCTGGTTAATACCTCAGTTCTTTCTTGAATGTAGCTATTCCCCAATACTGAAGTGTAAGATACCTGGGGGCACATGATATGCATTCAGTATCTGTTTTTACCTGATGTATTAGTTTTCTGTGGCTGTTGTAACAAGTTATCACAAACTGGGTGGCTTGAAGCAAGTTTGTTCTCTCACAATTCTCAGAAGTCGGAAATCAAGGCATTGGCAGATCCACACTGCCTCTGGAGGCACTAAGGGCAAATTCATTCTAAGCATCTTTCATTTTCTGGTGGCTGTATCCTCGACTGTGGTTACAACACTCCAGTCCCTGCCTCCGTGGTCACACTGTCTCCTCTGTGGGTCTATATATATATGTAATTGCATTTAAGGCCCAACCAGATAATCCAAGATGATCTTCTCATCATAAGATCTTTCACTTAAATACCTCTGCAAAGACCCTATTTCCGAATTTGGTAACATTCAGAGATCCCAGATATTTGACATCAGTATCTTTTGGAGGACCATATTTTGGCCTACCAGATCTGCCCAACATCCATCCCCTTATGGCAACAACCTCCTTATTACTTCTTGGGGAACTGTATCACCCAACTTAAGTCACACAGTTTGGGTGAAGCTACCCCTCCTCCCACCATGGGCATCTGACAAAGACCTGGGCAATCAGCATGTTCTAGAGCACAGTGACCAGCTCAGTGATGGGCATGTGATGCAAACTCTTGAGATTACTTCCCAGAACTTTGGTTATAGCACGTGGAAAAGGGACATGGTTTTTACACTGAGATTGCTAGAGTAAGCAAAAGGAATGTATTCACTCACATGGTGGGATGAATAATGAGATAACCCACAAAATTGTAGGAAAAGCATCAGGTACCTGGCCTCAGGGACTGGAACCAAGACTTAGTGCCCCAAGACACACACTCTCTCTCAGGTCTGCTTGGTTTCTTTGTATCAACAATCTCTCTCCACGTGGAAGACAAGATGGTTGTCTGGAGACAAAAGCACATTCTCTAATTTTTAAAAATTCACAGGACTCTTGTGTGTTCTGGTTGTTTCATCACAGTCCTAAGTCTTGAAATAATTACTTTTGCTAGAGAAACCATGATTGATCCAGATTATATCATGTTGCCAGGCAATGTGTTAGGCAATGAGGGGGAAAAACACAACTCAAACAAACCACCAATACCACTATCTTGTTTTATAAAACTTCCAGTCTAGTGGGGAATAAAATCACATGACTAGGTATAAAATTACTGTGGTGTATGTCATGAGAACAAGTACATGAAGACCACACCAGGGTGCATGATGCTTCCAGAAGTTCAGGGAAAGTGACAGCAGAATTTAGAGCAGAAGCAGGAAGGTGTGTGTGGATAAAGTGAAGGTTCCCATGTCCAGGATTCTCACCTGGCCCTGGTCGGCTAGCTCACTATGCACGTGTGGGCAACGCATTGCTATTGACTCTGTATAAAGAGCTCTGCCCAGTGCTCTGGGTGATACAGTGGCACGGCTGCAGGAGACCAGAGACTGGAGTGGTGGCAGCGCCGGGGACAAAGACAAGACAGCTGCGGCTGCCGGTGCACAGAGGCCCAGAGGCAGAGATCGGCTTGTTGCCTGCAGACTTGCTCTGAGTGGATGGGATTCTAGTGACTGACATGCCACCATGGAAATAAAGTTGGGCATAAACCCTTTCACCCCAAGAATGTTCCATTGTGATTTTTCAGTTTCATTGACTCCAGAGTGAACTTGCCCAGGCCTGAAACCCATTGGCAAGACAGTATGGGTGGATTTTTTCTAGGCAGACAGAACATGTACAAAATTCCTGTGGCAGATAGGAGCATTGCTCACTGGAAGACCTAGGAGAAAGCCAGGATGGTAGGGAGAGCGTGGTATGATGTGAGACTAAAGAAGCAGGTAGAGGCAATGCCATGTACATTATTATAGGCCACATCAAATATTTATACTTGATCTTAAGTGCCATTAAAAGCCATTTAGATGTTTTCAGCGGGTGGAGAGAAAGAAGGTAGTAGACATGAACAAATCTGCATTTGGAAAAGATCACTGTGGCGGCACTGTAAGAACAGACTTGAGCTGGGCCTAAGTGGCTGCAAGAAGATAAACTGAGTATTAAATTGATTCTAGCCCACAGAGCTTTATGCATTCCTACTATCTACTTTCCCATCAAGGAAGTTATATTTTTAAGAATTCAGTTAAATGAATGAAAGCAGCTTTTAGATGAGTGATTATTTGCTATGCAAAATGGCTCACTTTTTTATTTACAAAGAATTTTTATTTCCCTCTGATCAGTCTGCAATGTGAGTATACCAAGTTGCTCTTGAAAGGAGTCAATAAAACAAGGCAAAGCTATGCTGTAAAGGATGAGACCCAGACTACTTGCTGTGTGGCTGTGGGGGGAGGAGGTTCTCTGCCACTGCGTCTCACCCTCCCTATGTCTCATGGTTCCAAGTATCATCGCCGCTCTAATGATGCTCAAATTCCTCTCTCTAGCTTACACCTCTTCCTGAACCTGTGTCTAAATCTAATTGTCTACTCAACCTCTCCACTTGGATGCCTAATAAAAATGTCACACTTAAAATGAAAAACAAAATTCTTCATTTCTGCCTTCAAAATTGCTTCTTCTGCAGCTCAGTTCTTCCAGGTCGCTCACAATGTCTCTTTTACCTCATACTCCACATCTAACACAGCCACAAATCGTAACATCTTTACTTCTAAGATATGTCTGTAATTCAATTCCGTTTTCACCTCCTCAGTCACGACCACTGTGATACCGCTTTTCACCAGCTGATGCCCATTTATTTTCATCTGGCTCTCTCTAGTCTCTTTCCTTTAGTGCCATGAACTTGAGGACAACCTCACGGACATTCCATACATACTTGACGGAATGAATTTTTTCATACCGCCACACGTACAACAGTTCATTTAAGATGTCAAGGTGTGTGAAATTAATTCAAATAAAGGATTTTTACAGCTACCGAAAACCTAGATCAAAGCAGTTAATGAGATAGTGGGGTCAGCGGGTTGAAGCAGTTTCCACAGTTTTCCTGGTTTCCCTCAGCAGACAGGTTTTCCATCGGAGCCAATATCCCTTCATTTTTGGCTGCTGTGGGTGGAGAGCTTTTCTCCGGCTCCTCTCTGCACCTCAGCCCCAGCCTACGGCCTGACCGCCCCGTCCGGCTTCGGGCTGGAGATGCCCTTGAGCACGTTCCGGGCCCTCACGGATGACACTTATCCTAGGCCACGTGAGCGACTCCGACTGGATAGTAAAAGGAGCACCCTTCTCTGGCTTTCTCCACTGTACCCATAACTTAAAGTCATGGGGGAGAGAAGACACCTTCGGAGACGGTACCTGTAACCTGGCTGAGGGCTTTTGAGCAGAAACAGCCAGCAGCGGGGCTATTGCCAGCCCGGCTCTAGGGCTGACGGAAGGGGATATCCGCGTCAAATGCCCTGACCCAAAATGGCAAGTTACTCGCTCACCCGTCTAGGGGTGGAGGTAAGGCCACTGGGGTAAGTCAAGATGAGAAGGGACAATGAAAGCATCACTTCCTTGATTCAATACGGAGGCGGAGGTTATAGGAGAGAGAACAGCCAGGGACAACGAAGCATCCAGATGGCAGAAAGAGCGGGCCCGGCGCGAGAGGCCAAAGGCGATATCGATCTAATGCAAGATGGCGCCAGAGGTTATTAGTGGGAGCGCAAAAGAGGCGGTGATTACCCTGATCCAAGATGGCGATGGCTCTCGAGGCGAGCTGGGGGGGCGCCCAGCGCCAGGAGCGTATTTGCCCGCCTTCAAGATGGTGGCCGCCGTGGGCGTTGCCCTCAGCTCCGCCCCGCGGCCTCGGCCCCGCCCCGGCCCGGCCCTCCCTCCGCCCCCTCGCGGCGGCTAGTCCGGGCGGTGGTGCTCTCGCTAGGGCAGCGGGCTCCCGGCGGTTGACATGGCGGCGGCGGCGACTGCAGCGGCCAAGGGGAATGGGGGCGGCGGGGGCCGGGCCGGGGCCGCCGAGGCCGGCGGCGTGCGAAAGAGGAAGGGCCCAGGGCCTCTGGCTACAGCGTACCTGGTCATCTACAATGTGGTGATGACGGCGGGGTGAGCTGGGGCTCGGGGAGGCGGGGGGCGGGCCTGGCCGGGAGGGGACTCTGCGCGCGCGGAGGGGCCCGGCCCAACTCGCGTGCGGTGCGGTCCTGGCGGCGGGTGTCGGGGACGAGGCACCGGGGCGCTGAGGGCAGCCGAGCGCGGAATCGAGCTGTGCCTGCCCCGGACAGCGCGCTGTAGAGCGCGCTGGGCCGGGGGCCGAGCAAGTTCGCAGGCATGGGGTGTGCCCCGAGCTGGAGTTCCGGGGCTCCAAAGGGCACCAGTAAGGCTGCCCGGCGCCGGCTCGGAGGGCCTTGTGGGGGCGGGCGGCTGGCCACAGGGCCGGTCTGCGGGGCGGCGTGCGGGGCGGCCCTGCAGCGCCGGGAGCCGGGACGGCGGGTCGCAGATGGCGAGCTGTGTGTGCTTCCCAAGGGGAGTGGAGGGAGCTGTGGCTGCCGAGGTACCATTTATTTAGGCGGCTGTTTCAAAATCCCGACTGAGCTTCAATCTGAAAGGCAATGGATAAGCGTTCAAAGTTTTTGACCAGTAAGATGAGCAGAGCTGTAGATGAGTTCAGACCTCCTAGGATTGATTTAGGTGGGGAAGACAGGTGGGAAGGAGCCAGGCAGAATTGCTGGGGAGGGGAATAGACCTAAAAATGGGTTTTACCCCCTCTTGTTTCTTGCATTTCAACCCATCCCTTGTCACCGTGGGTTTTTGGTTCTAGTTCTGACAGTAGCTGTGTGACCTTTGTTCTCTTGGCCTCTGTTTTCATCTGTAAAACTAAAGCGCTTGGGCTAGGTGATCTCCCAGGTACCTCCAGTTCTTTGATCCCATGGTTTTGGTGCGGAAGATTACACGATTAGACTGTTTATTACGTATTTTTAATTGTATTCATTTGTAATCAAAATGTCCCAAATATTTTATTACAAAAATTTTGAAAGGTGTAAAATTTGAAAGAACTGTATAGTGAACATCCAGTTTCATTCATTTTTTTAAAACTAAGTAATACATTATTGATAGGGTGCAAAATTCAGAATATACACAACCGCATACAATCACTCTTCCTTCTCACCGTTCCCATCATCTAGATCCCCTCCCTGCAGGTGGCTAATGCTGTGTATCCTTCAGATGCTGATACAAGCAAAAATGTATATATCCACCCCACCCACCCTCCCCTGTTTTTAACACAAATGCTAAAAAAAATATGTCTTGGGAGGATCACAGGCTTTATCTCTTGTATTAGAAATGGTCAGTGTTGAAACCGAGACTTCAGAGATGTTGTAACTTGCTTGAGATCACAGAACTTGTTAGTAATGGATCTGATCTAGAACCTATTTCTCTTGACTCACCCACCAATGAAGAAATACTACAGATGCGGATTTTATCACATAAGTGGTTGCAGAGTGTTTTTTAAACGAACCTTCAGGAGTGTATATTTACATTAATATATCAAGTTCTTGTCCTTAGCAAGGGCATCGATGAGATCCTTGAAATGGAGAGGGATCTTGAGGTACATTTGGGAAGAAGGAAAAAAAGTCTTTAGTCCTGGGTGATGAACAGAAGGCATGGGGTGGGAGGGTAAGGAGTGGTGGCATAAACCAGGAAGAGAAATTGGGATTGTGAAAGTAAAGTAAGCTTTTTTTGTAGGCTGCTGAAGCTGGACCAGTTCCACCATTAAGGAAGTCATTTCTTTTTTTACGAACTCTTAACTTGATGTCCTGTATGATAGTTTCTAGAAATAATATAGACCACGTACCCCATTGCCTGATTGAGGTTGTACATTTAGGTAAAGCTATTACGGTTTACAAGGAAACACACCCTAATGAGGGTACATTCATTTCATTATGGAACTTAACAAAAAATCTCAGGGCCTGAGAAATTTTGTTTTGTGAAGGACAGTAGAACAGAATGTAATGTTCTCAGCGATGTGCCTATGCTTTCCTGTTTTGTGTTTTGTATTGATCTGGCTTTCTTTACTGAATTGGCTTTGGGAAATTCAGCTCTTAAACAACCTTTTATTCTTTTGAAAAAATAACCTTTTATTCTTATTTCATGTGCAGTTTTAAAAGGATGGGTGTTTAGGTGTGGGTGTGTTCCCGTGAGATACTTGTAAAAATAGTTTAAAACATCTTCTCATTATTACTACAGATCCTTTAACTGCACAGACCCTTTAGATTTTTGTTTCAACAGTCTTTTTTCCTCCTGTCTTAGACTTTCTGGCAATTAATTTAGTTGCTCAAGGACCCATTTCGTTTATTCCTTTTATTTTGGCCTTGTTCTCAACAGGCAGTGTTGCCAAAAAGCCGAGCTCCAGATGGGTAAGGTGCCATTGTACTTCTGCAGAGCCCTCTTGGTCAGGAGCCATTGAGGGTGCAGCATTTCCACGCACACATCTTGCGTTTGAGAGCTGTAGTTGATAAATTCGGGACACTGATTCTTGAGGTCACATTTAACGGTTTCTGTTGTTGCCACATTTTTTATTACTTTAAATCCTGCTTACCTTTTTTTTATTTTTCTTCTGATGACTCTTTCTCCTTTTTTTCTTAGGTGGCTTGTTATAGCAGTCGGTCTGGTCAGAGCCTACCTTGCTAAGGGCAGCTATCATAGTCTTTATTATTCCATTGAAAAGCCTTTGAAGTTCTTCCAAACTGGAGCCTTACTGGAGGTAGGTCCTGAAATTTGTTGTTGTCATTGTTTTTTATTGTTACAAAAGAAAAATGTGCTACTAGGTTATATTGAAGTAGCCATGTTTTTCTGTTGGATTTGCTTTACATTTTAAGAACTTGCCTCATAGCATACTCTAATGTTGATACCTGAACTGTCTGATGTTCAAGGTAAAATTAAATCTCATTTAATTTGTGTTACCTGGAATATATTTCACATTCAATTCCTATTGGAAATCAAATGAAGCAAGCTTGTAGTAGGATTTTTTTTAATTCTAGGGATATCAGGGAAATGTTAGCAAAACTAAGATTCTTTCAGGGGCCAGGCCTATAATGGAAATAGTGAAGTTGTGAGTGTAGGATGTCAGAGTGATAGATACAGGAAACAGTAGAATCTATCTAAATGTATCCAAAAAAGTTTTTTTAAACCAAAGTTTATTAATTTCCCTGTGGTAAGACTAATGTATATCCAGTCCTGTCTCCTGGCGTCAATATATATATGTATTAGGATTTTTGAGTTGTGACAGAAACTCAATTCAGACTATTTTAAGCAAAAAAGGAATTTATTGGCTCCCAGTTGAGAAAGTTACAGGGTTAACTGAGAAAAATCCAAGGACACAGCTCAGGAATGAGAACCAAGGGTTTGACATTGCTGGACTCTTTCCATTTCACATCTTGCTTATCTCTTACTGCTGTTTGAATGTCGGTCTTAGGGCTCCTGCTGCAGACTGCCTCCTTCTCCACATGGTGGGGAGTGGGGTGGAGTTTATTTTTCACAGCATCTGTGTCTCAGTTCTAGGGAAAGATTCTGGTTAGCTAACTGACTTTCCAGTAATGTGAGATAACTTGATTAACCAGGTCCAGGATGTATGCCTATCCTTCTGGCCAGGAACTATAGACTTTGTCAGTGGAAAAGAGGGAAATGGGGCCTGCTTTGGGCACACCAAGTCAGTAGCTGTCAGAGTTCATTTTAGTGAAAAACCTTCCGGTCGCGGGATCGGGTATTCAGTTTCATTTTATTTTGCCTCCAGGGCAAGCCCACTAGGACATTTGGAGGGACAGTTAAAAAAAAATTTACTTCCATGAAATGAGGTAGGACACCTCAACCTTTCATCCTCACATTTGAAAGCAGAAAATTGTAGCTCCTGTTCTTGCTTTTTCTTCCAGAAAGCAGCGAGATTTCAACACTGTCCATATTTCTGCATATTAGGTAGGTGGGTTGATGAAGTGAGCTTCTGAATGGGAGTCTGAGGACCCTTATTTTAAGTATGCTGGTTTTGCCAACTTCCTCTGTGCATTTAGGCAAGTTGTTTAGCTCTTGTCTACCTCATTTCCATAGCCCCTCCCTGTCCTAACAGTTTGAGTCTGAGGAAGCTTCAGCAAATCCTAGTGCGGGCCATTTTTCTAACTTAACGAGTTTTGAGTTTTTTAGGAAGCGGAAATGGTTAGTAAGCAGTGCTTTGTCTTCAGCCAACACAGTTCTCTCTAGCTGTAGGGAGGTAAGTCTGGGGTCAGGACAGACCATCAGGAACTACCCTAGGGCTTGATACAGGGAGATGTACCATTTGGGATACTTAAATAATTTAAAGGGGATTCTATCTCCATAAGACTTTGTAATATTACAGGTATAATTTAAAAATTCTTGAATTTTAAGTATATGTTAGGGAAGGTAGTGACATTAGATAATGTTATACAAAATCCACTCAGGAACCAAATCTTAAACTTTGAAGATTACTGCATTTATCCCTATCGAAACTTTAACAGGGATTTAAGAAAATATTTTGGATTTTTGGCTTTCTCTGTGTCATCCCCACTATGAACCAATTAGGTGACAAATCCTGGGTTTGAACTTAGGAAAAGGACTAGAGAGTGAAGTGAAGACTCCCAGAATTCCGTTGGGAATTAGCTTTGCAGATGTCAGTGATGGCAGAAGACTCCTCAGCCTGGGGCAATGGAGCAGGCTTACTAAAAGTGTATCTCCTAGTCAGTTAAGGAAGGTTTCATTGCCTACCCTACCTACACTGTATTTCATTACATGTATGCAGTCCTGTTTAATTGCAGATAAGTTATTCTTACGGGAATTATTAGTGCTTGACTATATATCTGTTTGCAGGAGGGGAGGGAAAATTATACCAGGGAGGTCAGCTACTCATTTATCTCTCTGTATTCCGAATGTTATTATTTAGTAAGTTTTGTGGGAGTTTGCTTAAAAAGCAAACAGAAATGATCTGTTCTCAAGAACCTTAGAATCTTCTTAGAAAAATGTAACACTTAGTTTTCTAAAAGATTTAAAAACATTTACCAAACAAGTACAGATGGGCATATAGTAGTGTAATACAAAAACACAATTTCATTTCTGAGGAAATTGCATAACTTTTTATAAAATGGGTGCAAAGATATAGTAAGTGAGTTAATGATACAACAATATAGTTTTTTAATAAAATGGACACAAATCCTGATTTTTTCCACATACTCATAACAAGAATGTCATGAGTATATTTAATAGATAATTTTCCAAATTATTCCACTGGTGACCATTGAAACAGCCATATGTGATATCTGTTATTATTCCACTGCAATGGCTGCTGGGGAGGTTGAGCTCTTGCTAAGAGCTTAAAATGTTATTAGGTAGATGATTATATTAGTACTCTTGGCTGGAAATTACAGAAACCCCCTTAACTAGCTTAAACAGTAAGGGGAATTTATTATAAGTGTGTAAGAAGGATGGGAATGCTACTGGGCCTTAAGAATGGCTTTGAGTCGGGCCAGAGCACTTTAGGGAACCCCGGAGTTGTTGCTCCATCTCTTCTCTCTCTGCCATTCTTACTCTTTGTCTCTGATTCTTTCTTCCCTTGCAGACTAAGTTTCTTGGTTTCGTAGTCTGCATGGCGATCATGGTAATAGCCCCAATCTCCTGAGATTGTAGCTCCTGCACAACAGCTAGTTGGAAACATAATCTTACTCCCAATTCCACATCCCAGTGGAGGACCTAATTTTTCCAGCTTGAATCAGGTGCTCGTTCCTGGACCAATATCCTATAGACAAGATCAAGGTCACACATTAACCATACAGAAGTAGGAAGGAAGAGGTAATTTTTAGGAAGAGAGGTGCTGCTAGGCAGAAAGCCCAGAAAGTATTTACCAAAGTGCTGGGACATAATACAATGAAGATTATAATGTAGGAGGTGATTTAATTGGCAGAAAGTAAAATACTGATAATCTTGAGGACCAAGCAATCAGTGTATGAATAACTACAGTGTGTCTTTCTTGTTTTCTGGCTCTTGTATTTGTGTCTTGTTTCATCAATATAGTGTGTCTTGAGTTGAATCCTGAATAATCCTGAGAGCTTATTAACATAGGTAACAAAAAATATTTTTAAAATCTCATTTATGGATAAACAAAATGGGGTATTTCCATACCATAAAATGAATGAATCACTGGTAATGTTATAATATGAATACATCTTGAAAACATTATGCTATCTAAAAGAAGCCAGACACAAAACTCTACATTTTACACATTTCGATTTATATGAACTGTCCAGAATTGGCAGATATGTAGAGACAGAAGGTAGATCAGTGGTTGCCAGGGTCTTCAAGGAAGAGAGAATGGGGAATAACTGCTATTGGGAACAGGGTTTCTTTTGAAGGGGTGACAATACTCTTGAATTAGGTAGTGGTGGTGGTTGTACAATCTTGTGAATATATTAAAAACCACTGAATTGTAAATGGGTGAATTTTGTGATATGTAAAATTATATCTCAATTTTTAAAAATGCCATTCATATATAATGAGCTGTGGATATGTTTTCTTTTTTTTGTTTGTTTTTGATCCATGATATTCACTGGTAAGAACAGACTCCTCTTTTCAGCTTTGTGAGAGCTGAGTTAAAGATTAGACATCATCTCTCTATGAAATGGGGCTGGTGGGACTGAGAAACTGTAGATCAATACTGTATTATTGCAGTTTAAAATTATTTCTGAATTCAGATTTCTAAATATGTTTAGTTAATCTAAGATAATATATAGCAAAGATACTTCCAAAGAGTCATAATTGGATATGCCTCTGTGATTGACAGGATTCTAATGAGTTACAGTTCTGCAAAGGTGTTGATTACTGAGGCTGATGCAAACCATCTTCAACATATATACATCGCTGTATGTATCAGTTACCTACACCATCCAGCTGGGAATGCCTGATTGACCACAGGCCCTCCCTTTCCATTCTTTTCTACATCCTTCTATTGCTTGGAACCCCATTATCTACAGTAAGAATGAGAAGTCTTCATTTGTGGTCTCTTCTTAGAGTTGGTCTAGGGCTGGGTCTGAAATGGCAGCGCTGGCTCTGCAGAAGTAGTGAAGCAGAGTGGACAGCTGTGGTTCTGTCTTCCAAACCCCACCAGCCCGCTCCACACCCCGTGTGTGATCTGGTCTAACTCATCATAGTTCATTGCACAAGTCTCTTCAGGTCCTTTAATGAAATAGCCAGGAAACTGATTTGGGGTATTTTTCTAAAATACAGAAAATCTTAAGAACTTGTAATGTCCTTAAAAAGAAGAGGGCTCCCATCTTGTTTGCCTGCCAGTTTTTCCACCTTTTTGCCTCAAACCTTGAATGATGTTTTTCCCCACGGAGACAGCAGGTGGTTAGGTTTTGTGGTGTTATTGATACAGTAATATGCTTCAGACGTATCACACATTTAAGTTTGCTTTTGTGAACATGTCTGGGGACATAAGCACCGTCTGTAATATTTTTCCCCCCTGTGAAAACATGCTGATTTCCCAGTGATGGGTAATCTATAAAAAAAACTTGAAATATCTGCTATATGCACATTTTAGACTACCTTTATTCTGAAGCCCTGTTTTGAGGAAACATCTCTAGAAGAGACTTCTGAAGAGCTAGCAGAGCAAGCCACAGGGAGATATCTGACACAAACAGGAATGACAGCAAAGCCTAGAAAGCCAGCTTCAAAACCAATGTGACAACCCAGAGGGAAAGTGGAACG